GAATATCGTCAAGGCTATGGGTCCAGCTGGCGAGGGAAAATTATTGGAATATAAGATCACAGACGGATGGGAGAATTTGTGCGAGTTCTTAGGAGAGGCAGTTCCTAAGGATCGACCATTCCCAAAGGTTAATGATAACAATGATTTCATTGATCGTTCGAGGTGGAGAAACAGGTGTCAGTTGATGAACGTCTTGTTCAGATACTTCTGCATTGTGGTTGGGTGCGGATTCGCATATGTTTGTTTGATGCGGATCTGGAACATGTTGTAGAAGAAGAGGGATTATGGAGGGGGAGCGGGAGACTTCGGAAAAGAAGATAGGAGCTACGAACGGGTGAAAAATTGGGATTGGGAAAAATGGCTTGTATATCTTTACATCAAGCATCATCATTGGGGTTTTGGGTTCTGGCTAGAACAATGTACATACAGCACAGGCTTGCATATGGTATATTCTAGCCTTTCATTTTGTTGGGTCATTCAATTGGATTCTGTATATAAGTGGTAGCATACCTATATCCCACCTTTCGAGGACGTTTTGAATTTATTTCTTTAAAAAACATGGAAATTCGATTCGATGTTTAAATTATCTCATTTTAGGGATCTTTTAGTAGGTATCATATCTTGCCGTTCGGTGTTGAATTTGTATAACACATACCTAGTAGGTACTTGTACACTAATAATTAGCACAAACATCCTCGCTTCGGAACACCCAATCCTCAGGTCCGACCAATGCCAATATTTGATAAATACACTCCGTACCGTACAAACCAATTAGCATGAGCATCACAACAACAGATCCATGCATTCATCCATCACTCATGCATTAGGAGAACCTCGGATCTTATAAAAAGTTATAAAGCCCGCCCCGAACTGCAAAATTCTGACAAGTGGACACATAGGTACATAACTTAACATCCCGAGGTCACCTATCCTTATTCGTATAGTAATGTGTAGGGTAGAACCTAGAAAAGGAATGGACGAGATCGATAAGATAAGATTGGATATCAATTCTCGGACCCGAGAAAATGCGAGAACGCCTTGGACGTCAATCTCAATCTCAATATGAAATCTCAATATGAAATCATAGGCTGTGTAATAAATAATTACATTTAAATGGACCATATACATACATACCTTCATACATATCTTCCCAATCAATTACACATATCTCCCATCCCCCCTCTCCTAAACCACACTCAAACGCAAACTCACTCACACTCATTCCATACCCATTCAACAAAATCGCATATCTACCTAGGTACTCCATATCCTACCGCCAAGATGACGCGGCCAGAGGACGAATAATGGAATATACTAAACCACCAAGAGCTCACGATTCGTGTTTCCTGGTGTTTCGTCTGTGCTTTTCACATGCGTGAGTCGTTCTGTTTTGGGCATGGATTTTCATTGCGTGCGCTTTCTATGTTGGGGGTCATTATAATGGGGTGTGGTTGTGGGTGTGGAAAAAGGATAGGATGTGCGATTGCTGTCGATGTTGGGCTGTTAATGGTAAGGAGTGCGATTTACAGTATATCGGATGAACATCGTTGGAATAAAACGGTGCACCAAGTGCGCAGGTTTGAATTATATCATTATTTGAATTTAAATTCAAATTCAAATAGGTATCTATGTAAATATTTGCAATGGTATCTCCAGCTCTCTCCCTTTGGAGAGATGACTATACAAACAAGTAAAACTTCGAGAAAAAAAAATATGTGTCCTATATACAGAAACAAATTCCCAGCCAAAACTCCCCCCATATGTTCCCAATGATATTCGCCCTTTCCCAGAACCCATACGCTACCCAGATAACAATGGAACCCCCAAACCCCTAGGCCTCCACCTCAATAAACTAGCTCCCCTCTTCTTTCTCCTCCAAATCACTGCTTCTCTGATTCCCACCACTAGCCCAGTCACCCCCGCAAACGCCATTAATGTGAGTAATGGCCAACTACTCGACCCCTCTAATCTCACCGGCTTCAATGACCAAATCTGCATACCGGTATTAGCATTAAAGATTCTTGAAGTCTAACAAAAGAGATGAGTCAGCCTTACCTGTTCCAAATTTACGTCCAGAGAAGAACTTACCCCCAATAACTCTTCCTCTCCCGTGACGTTATTGTAGCTTCCTATTCCCTTCACTCTTAAGTATCTCGGATACAAACGATGAATTTCGAACTCCGTCTCAAAAGTGGTTTTGTCGGCATAATCCAGAGTCTTCCACTCTTCCTCTTCTGCTTCAGACTCATCGGCTCCTTGTAATAACCATCTCGTGACTTCCGTTGCTCCATTCCAGCTCACATAAAAGCTCAACCAATCGTCTCCATTAGTCAATATTCGTACGTCAGGGTCAGTCGTGGGCCATCCATGCCAATCGAATTTAAAGGTTCGATATGATTGGACTTCTCCAGCGCCATAACGACTTTGTGGTCCGAAGTGTACATCACAGATCGCGGTTCCATTGGGGGCGTATTCAGTGAATGCGCCTGTGTTTCCATAACCCATGATTACATGCCCATCTTCGAGAATCTGTAGATTTCCTTGCGAGATAGCGTGGACACCGTTTGGATTCATGTATTCACGAATGACTTCTACCGTCATGTTGATTTCATCGAGCGAGACGAGGAGTCCACGTGTAGCGTTTCCGGGATGAGCATCATCTCCTGCGTTATCGAACAGAGAAATGGCGGTACGATTGTGACGCCAGCGAGCATCATGTTGATATGCGAAATTGGTAGCTAGACCCCCAGAAAGATCCGTGAACATATTTTTCTTGCCTCCAAGAATCCAAATGATATCCCCATTTGTCCCGTTTATGTAGGTGAGGGAATGGAAATATCTGCTGGAAATAAGATAATTGCCTTTAGAATCCTTGTCAATACTGTTTATGTGAAAGAAGTCGAAAGCAGAGTTTACTCCTCCATTTCCCGCTGGCATTTCTTTATATGTATCGGAGATGAGATAATGATCTGCCGCTCTCCATTGAAAAAGGAGCTCTCCGGAGGCCAAATCAATTTCCTGTATGACACAATCCCAAACGTATCCTTGTGGTATTCCAACATATGATAAATCGGCTACAACAACATCGTAAATGGTAATCAAGGCTGTACCATTTTCGGTGATGGTGAAGTCGTGTAGATCGCCCGCGAGACCGTTTGCTGCAACGACGTGGTGAACCTCCTTGTAGTTTTTATCGAGCTGCGCAAATTTAGTGTGGGCAAAGATTTACAAATACGAGACAACCTATACTGACCATATAATAAGTTCCTGCACCGTGTCCCTGCACAGCATCTGTTCCAGCCCAGAATGTCAAATATTTTTCTCCCATGTATTCCTGTACCTGAAGATTGTAGACTTGATCATAGCCTCCCTTGGTCCAAATTAAATTTCCTGCTGAATCCAAAATCATTGCACCCGGTTCACTGACAGAACTCCCGCGAGGGCTTAATACCCAATACAAATCATTTCGGCATAATGCGCTCGATCGCAAAATGTTCAAACGCGGGGATACGACATCGGTTGACATGTAGGTACGGATTGGATAAGATCCATAGCTGCCGGCATCAAAAGCATCGTCCCCATGGAGAGCGCCCAACTCAGCAGCGGCGAAGACGGGTAAGAAAGAGGCGAGAAGCGAAAACAGCAATAATACTTTCAACCCCATGGTAACCTGATGGAAAAGAAACAAAAGAATAGAAAGAAGTGTGACATTTGCTCATGAAAGTACGAGTATGGAAAAGAACGAATAATGATACACAAGGGGAAGTGATCGGATCAAAACCTACCAGGATATAGAGGGCAACCGGCAAGCAGAAATACTTTACCCCATAGCAGCATGAAAAGCTGGACGAGTCCTACTATGTGTATGTGGGTCCGAAGGGTGATTGGAACTGCTATTCATTGCGAAGTGGAAGCTGTACCTTAAAAATCGGGAGCCTCCAAGCTTGGATCCTGTTGTCTGAAGGAAGACACAATGATAATGCCATACGTCAGGCAGTAGTCTTGAGGATGGCGCGTATAGAATCGCGTACAAGGGAGTTTAGTAGAAAGGAACATGATTGAGGTAGAGCGTACAGCGTATTCCGTAGATATACGCATGCATGATAGCAATTGGAAATTCGTAATGGGTTTCACGGAAATGTCATATTAGGAGTAGCGTTGGATGGAATATAGATGCTGATGTATGGAAATGTGGTTCTGGGATCCGAGCGTATGTGCACTGGGAAGGGAGGAAGGGAAGGAAATGTGAAGGAAAAACTTCTAGAAAGCCAACAGGGGACATGAACACGGTGGAGCCAATTACGACGCGCCAAGACTTTTCGGATGGGCGCTTGTCTTTTCGCGCTTCTAATCATTGCCATCAAAGCCAGGTAGGTAGGTGTCCATACATAGTACAGCTTTGTGGAGGTTTATCATGGTGCCGACGTATGTATCAAATTCCAACTAGGTAATCAATCAACTTGATGTATTAAGCTCCACACAAATTACAAATGTCTATCAATAGAAGAAACATGATTAAGCATTGAAGCGTGGTTTGATATCCTCCACACATCCTTATTTAATTCTCATACAAAGTTGACCATCGTTTCATATAAACCCATCTTTTGGATGCAATAAATTAGTACCTATTTAAGACAAATTGTCACGGATACACGTCAAATGATCGTCGTGAACAACTTGCCCATTGCCCAATAATTTCAATTCAAGAAGTGGAAGGTTCCTTGTTCTTCGGTCCCGGAAGCAATCACTCTCGAATTACTATCATATGAATTGAGATACTACTCCGTAGGTAGGTCCCAGGTATTCAACTTCCATAAACCTCCATAAATTGCCCTTTTCCCGTTAGATGTGAGAGAGGTGTGTCTTTATTATCACCCATGATTACTAGGTAGGCACCGCTATCCTCCAGCACATGGGGTTACAGTGGGGATTCTTTTCCAAGTTCTAATAAAATTTTAGTGCCGCGTAAACACTGACTACTGAGGACTAACAAGCATTGAACATTCAAACACCGGCCAACCCTTGAGCTTCTTCCCGATCATCTGTGACACTTTCATTACCTTGCTGCTGACTTACACTAACATCTATCCTTGCTTATCTGCTTTTTCTTATGCTTATCCCTATTTGAGTCGGACGAATATCAAACAAGAACTCTTGAGTGGTGATCCAAAAAAGAAGAAACAAGCCGAGAACCAAAGGCCTTTGCCTTTGCGAAAGTGCAGAACCATGGGAGGCTTGGAGAGTTGGTCCTTGGATGTAGGATTCGGGAACTTGGAATCTCAGGTGGATCACAAAGGCAACCAACCATTTTCCTGCTCCATGAAGCCTCACCTAAAGAGTACAAAGCTATGGGGCAAGCTTAATTTTGAAATTGACGATGATGTATATCCCATACGCACACATTTTCACACGACTAGCAAGGATAAAGTAGGTATAGAGTAAAGGGAATTTCAGATTGTCCACGAGGAAGAAGGATAATAATAATAACCTCCGAGTAGAGGAGGACGTCCGAAACGGGTGATTGAAGAAGATCGAATAACAGGATTTCTTTTCTACTACTTTTGGAATGTGCTTTCCTCCTTTGATCCATCTTTTCTTTCCGTTCTATCCTTTCTTTGCATTCATTTGATAGCTTGGCACAATTCTGGACCGAGCCGCTTCATGATTTTCCATCCAACATATTTCTCTGCTCTGGTTTAGTTATTGACTCGAATCATCCGAATTCTGGCTTGTTGATTTTTTTCTTCTGTATTCTGGGGGTTCCGTTTCATTTTATCATCATTTATCAATTTTTGTTTGAAAATTAATGACTATGTCGGAGAAAAACAATATCCCAACACCTTTATGGTCACCGGCCTTGCCCGAGCATAGAGGAGGGGTAAGTGGCTTTCATCGCAGACATACCTCTCTCGTCCCTCCGTCCCCACGTGAGTTCTTCGATTCACGGCCTAGTACTGCCTCTGAGCCCGATTCAGAAGCATCTGGTCCCAAACCACAAGCAGTGACATGGATGTCACTACCTCGGAAAGATCAATTAGCCATCCTCTTCTTCTCTAGATTGGTAGATTTCTTGCAAATTGCCTCATTGCAAGCTTATATGTTCTATCAGTTGAAGAGCTTCGATCCTGGCTTGTCTGATGCTGCTATTTCGTCACAGGCGGGGATCTTGCAAGGCTGTTTCACTGGAGCTCAGGTCTGTACTGCGGTGCTATGGGGTAAAGCCGCTGATGCTTGGGGGAGGAAGATGGTTCTCATGATTGGGCTGATTGGAACGGCCATCTCATGTATGGGATATGGCTTCTCGACGACGTTTTGGCAAGCGGCTTTGTTTCGTGCCTTTGGTGGTGCTATCAATGGTACTGTTGGAATAATGTTAGTTCATAGATTCTTCAATTTCAAATGCACAATAGCTAAACTGTCTCAATTAGACGTACCATGGTTGCAGAGTTCACCAAAGAGAAGAAATATCAATCCCGGGCATTTTTGCTCTTGCCCATGAGTTTCAATGTGGCTGGTATATTGGGTCCAGGTATGTTTATATATATATATTGCATCAATCACATCATCATGTACTAATATTGCTCATAGTTATGGGTGGATTACTTGCAGATCCAGCAATGACACTCCCTGGTCTTTTCGGTGACCAAGCTGCATTCGGATTTGAGTGGCTTAAATCATATCCCTATGCTCTTCCTGGTATTCTCAATGCCGTCTTCTTAGCAACTACCGGCGCCATCGTATTCTTAGGTCTAGAAGAGGTACGTGCTCTTGACGTGGGATACATCTTCACGTCTCCACTCCCGCATATACGGATACGGATGCTAACCTGTAGCTTCATCTTAGACACTTCCTTCGGCACGTGGCCAATTTGATTACGGAATTAATTTGATGAATCGGATTAAACAATCAATAGGGTTTGGAACTATTGTTGCCCCGATTGATTACTCTCATCTCGAGACCTCAATTGATAGCCTCGAGAACTTCGAACCTAAATCAATTACTCGTCCCACCGCAAACAAATTACCCTTTAATCGCATCTGGAACAAAAACGTAATCTTTACCTTGATTACCGGCGCATTCTTTGATTTCCATCTTGGAGCTTTCACAAATATCTGGTCACTTTTTCTCTCCACTCCACGACCTACTTCCAAAGATTCACGATCTCTTCCCTTTGTATTCACCGGTGGTCTCGGTATGCCTGCCGCAACAGTCGGCTTTGCAACATCCATTCTCGGCGTCCTTGGCATGGCTCTACAAGTTCTTCTTTATCCACCTGTTCACGCAAGACTTGGTACTCTCCTTTGCTTTCGATTTTTTCTAATTTTGTTCCCCATCGCTTATTTCGTTGCTCCATATTTGGCTGTATTGCCTTCCAGTACTTTGGCACCTGCGCCTGCTGCCGGACCTGCCATCTGGATTGGAATTTTCTTTGTACTTTTACTTGCTGTTTCAGCGAGAACTTTTACGCTTCCTGCTACGATTATCTTATTGAACAATTGTTCGCCTCATCCTTCTGTTTTGGGTACGATACACGGAATTGGACAATCAGTCTCAGCGGGCTTCCGCACAGTGGGACCGGTGGTAGGTGGAATATGGTATGGACGGGGGTTGGAAAAGGGAGTAGTGGGATGGGCATGGTGGGAAACGGCAGTGGTCGCTGCGGCGGGATGTGTAACAGCTATGTGGGTTTATGAGGGAAGTGGACATGAAATATTCTTGGAAGGGGAGGAAGATGACATGGAAGAGGTGGAAATGCAAGGGTTGATGAGGGATAATCAGAGAGAAAGAGAAGAGGGAGTTTTTGCTGAGAGACAGGGGCTGATGGGACAGATGGGTGGAGGTAGTAAAGGAGTTAGTCTGGAGGTTAGAAGAAGCTTGGCTTTAAAGTAGGGTTGTGATTCCCGATGGCTAGAATAGGGCTGGCGTACAGGCGTTTGTGTTCGGATATCATGGGAATAAATACCACATATTTGTGCTGGGCATAAAAAGGTCGGATAGGTGGATGGCGGACCAATTACTTATGAAGTTATCTACGAAAAGTTCTTCGGCGGAAATATATATTATTAAATTCCCATTCTATGTATCTTCTGTGAGCAATGTGACTGACTGAATCAAAACATTGCACATGCTCACCTTACAGACAACTATCAAGATTGACGAGATTTCGGCAAGCATTGATGATTTCAAAGCAACTGATTCAACACCATTATACTCCTGACTAGACGAGATACTAAACAAATGATGTAGTATAGGATAAAATGCTTTGATTGAAGTTGTGTGTTGAAGTGATATAGTGATATACACATACAATATGGAGATCAAGAGGCTTGAAAGACAATCGAAAGGGTAATCTTCGGGAATGTCGGAAAGTACTAAAATTTGTTCCGACCTCATCCCTCAATCTTTACTTTTTCACCAAATTCAACTAAATTCGTATTGTAATACTTTTTATTCTGATTTCTATCAATTGTGTATCTACACTAAGGAAATCTCATTTCGATTCATGATGATTCATGCTTCTGAAGATTCTCAAGGAGAAAGAGATAGAAGGTTTGCTTCTTGAATTTGCTTTCTCTCCCTCATCGGCAAGAGCTTTCTCAGTCAATCATCCCATATTATTCCTCAAGTCCATCAATCCATCAATCCATTCATTTACCAAAGCCACCATCCTTCAATTTTTAATCAACCTTCAAGTGATCCAGGAACAAAGAAAGTAAATACAAAAGAAAGGAAAAAGGACAGTTAGTGAAAGCTCCATGAGAAGTGTCTCTGTTTGAATCTACGAACGCCTTTGATGCTTCACCGCAGTAATCATGTAGTCATGACTTCGTTATCATTACGACAGCGAAAACTTTACATCCATCCCCCAAAACCATTGTCTTTGTCAACACGTTGGATTGAAGTTCCGGCATCTGTTGGAGTGTACGACACGTCATGGGTAGTATCTGTAACCGTGCCTGGTACGGGTGCCCTAGTGAATGGGAACCTGGCTTGGAGCTCTGCCCTTCTTTCCAAGCTTCTTCTTCTAGCTCTCTTCACGGATTCATTATAGAGTCTCAACTGTTCGTTTCCACCAAAGATACCGGAGATGCTTGCAGTTACGTGAGCCTTTTGACGACCCTCGAGCATTGCCAAGGTGTTGTCGCGTTCTGCGACAGTACGCAGAGTATCTGCTTCTGTCGGGGAAGGTGGGATGGCATTATACGCACGATTTCTAGTTCCAGTGGCGGAATTTGAAATTGGCTCAACCCACTGCTTTGGACTGGTGTCGGCGCTGCCATTTGAAGTTGCATTGGGCGAAGTAGAGTTATTTGAGGGAGTAGAGAATCGTGATGGTGGTTCGACCCATGCCTTTGCTGGTGTTGTAACCGAGTTGTTCTGAATCTGGGGGAGTGCGGGCGGGTTAACTTGTAGATTGCTGCCATGTGGCCATGCTGTAGTTGGCGTAGAAGGGGATGCGACTGCTCCGTGAAGTTCAGCACTTTGGTTTGACAGATGACCGTCAAAATTTGACCATTGTGGCAATGATGAATTATCGATGCTCTTCTTAACATTTGCAGGTTCCGACCCAGGTGAAGCATGTCCAGTGGCATTTCTTCCATACAGCTTGAGGTCCCTATCTGGAGACTTTGGAGGAATTGGAGGCGCGACGGATGTACCATCCTCAGTTTGTGGTTGGTGTTCCGTCGAAATTTTATTTTCGGATAATGTAGGATCGCCTGGAAGTTCGGCTGGCCGAGGACTAGTGACAAACTGCAACTCATGCTCATAAGATCTTACCGGTCGTGGTGGTCTTGAAGCAACTGGTACTGCAGCTCCCATCATTGCTTGTTTGATAGCACCAGTTCCCAAGGTCATCTTGTCACCGAAAGGCCAAGATGGCCACAACTTTTTGTCAGTCAATCCCAGGGTATCTAAGACACTTAAACGATCCTCTCGTGATTTTCCGGCTTGGCGTGAAACTGTATTTCCTGTGTTTAAGCAACGGTTATTTCCATCATAAATGCTTCTATGTCTCAATGCCGTGGAGCTCGACGCGTTATTGCCTCTCTTCTTCAAATTCCTTCGATGTAAGCACCATAGAAGTAAACCGAGCGCAGCAATAGCGAGGATGGCGCCGACGATGGCAGGCACTAAAATCGCCACATTTGGAATCGACTTACTGGCATTATCGTTTGGCGGAGTTGATACCAATGTGCCAGTTGCTATTGACGACGATGATGTTTTAGAAAAGGTCGGTGTAGTACTTGGCTTACTTGTCGAAGTCGCCGACCGAGTGAAAGATGTTGTTGGCCCAGTGCTTTTGTCAACTTCGCTCGAGCTACTAGTTTCGACAGTGCTTGAGCTATCAGTCTGAACGGTGTTCGAGTCATCAGTTGTCTGTGGGATAGGAAGGCTCGTAGTGCTGGTTGATAATGTTACAAGAGTTGCAGCGACCGCTGGAAGGTATGTAGGGTATTCAAATTGAGTCGCAGTTTCTCTTACTGGAGACTCATTTTCTGGATAGACTGTGTAAACAACGATCAGTGCAGAAGTCAAGGTGACAGGAATCTGGTCAGCTGGCGTCACAAACTAAAACATTTGTTAGCATCGACCGCATTGGTTTGGCATCGCGGAAAACATACTTCTGAGGATGTTACGACAATAGGAGCGGGTGAGACGGTAGTATATGATGTAAGAGTGAGAACGTTCACGCTTATACTCGAACTTGAGCCATCTGCCATGCTCAAAAAAGAACATAGGCAGACGACCAAAATTGTCAACATAATGTTCAAGTGTCGCATCTTGATACTGGATAGCAGATGAAACCGAGTTTTATTGAGATTCCAAGAAGTGCGAGGTGTCGTTGGCGTGTGATGGAGGACAGAAAGAATCAACCGGCAGAATGCGACCGCTTGAAAGTGATGACCTTCGGCAAGGTGAATAAAGTGATTTAAGAACACAGCCGAGATCGATTATATTCGAAAAAAGAAGTGTGATAATTTCAAGAGTATAGAAAACAATAAAGCTATGGTTCTGGACCGCAGCCTTATAGAGTTGATGAAAGTCCAGGTCTCTGATCAAGGTCAATAAAGAGGTGGTGTGTGTGTAAATTCCAAATTGTAAAACAGTATTATTTTGAGATTGTGGGAAAGTTCAAAATCAAAATTGAGCTAACTCTTTTGAACAGGCTAGAGTCTCGGCGTTGAGGAAAAGGTAAGTTGCTCAAGAGCTTGAGTGATGCTGCTCGAAGTTTGAAGTTGTTGTTATCAGAAATCCATTCAAACCCACATATGTTACTTGAGAACTTTAGTTCAAAGAGATGATGATGGATGTATGCATGTATACTCCTGTTGGTGTCCAGATATCTTCAAACCCCAATTGTATATATGAGACCAGCTGTGAATGATCTCCAAGAATGCAATTGTCCCCTTACCTGAAGTTATGTTGTGTGTGGTAGTGCAAAGGTTGCTGAGATCAAAAACAACTTGGAACAGAAGATATGCTCAGAAAATGGATTCACTTCCCTTGTCATACATATGATAAGATGGAACCTGATCTGTGAATCATCGACTCACCATTTCCATGAAGGGATATGAGCAGATGATAGATGGACTCCTCAATGACCTTGGGAATTCTGTACTTTGGACTTTGTCAAAGTGCTGAAGTCATCTGCTTGCTTGTTGGAGATCACACACTTCTGATCTCCTGGTGTCCTGGTTTCCTGGTATCAGGAAGTCTTGTTTCTCGTTGAGTTGAGCAGTTAATTTGATGAGGAGATGGTGCATAAAGCTTGCATCAAGTTTGCATCAGTATATTTTTGAGCTTCTTATAACCTTGATCCATCTGGTGAAGCATGAATTCTACAAGCTAGTTGACTGAGTAATGAGGTTCCCAAATTCCAGCTCTCCACAGAGTGAAATTCACTGTGCTGCACAAACTTCTCAGGATGCTGGGCACACTTGTCAAGTTTCATGAGTGTGAATGTTTGAGGTTCCCCAGATTCTTTATTGGCTTTGAAAAGAAGTTGAATGATCTTTTGGTTTTGGGTCACCCTACGTTGAGTGCAAGCACAGATATGGTGAAGTGGTTGAAATATGATTCACACAGGTAGGGAGGTCATTCGGAACTGCGAGATTTTGTTTCGGTGGAGCGAAAGTTCGAAGATGATGAGAGGGCAATGCGCTCTGAGAAGCTGCTTTGGGTTATTCGGAGATGGTATACCAAAGAGATATCCGGGGTCTGTGATATTTGGAGCACTTTTCGTCCACGTCAAAGACTCAATGGTGTTGGAACAGATTAGAAAGGGTTGGCGATCGGTGAGTATATGTATTGCGATGGAAGAGGTACAGTCAATTCTGGAAATAGCGGTCCTTGTAAACGAATACCTGGAGTGGGATCATTAGAGTGAATCTCATTGCAGTAGTGGAGCACTGTCCTCCGTTTGTTGCAAATCTCATTTTGTCTTCTCCGGCTAGTGAAGCGGGAGAATGGCGAGATACATGGAAAAGTCAGGAAGGCTATCCGGATACTCCCTATTAATTTACGTCAATTTGAATATCAAAAAAAGCATGAATGATCATATCTTCCGTGATTTCTCATATTCATTAATTAGCTAATGTATTATTACCCTCATCTTTGCACTTGTCGCATAACTAACATATCATGGAAGTATAATCCACCAGGGTGGAACTTCGACTCGGTTACTAAATGAGATCCCCTTGTTTTGCGATGGTGGGAGCAAAGTCTACGGCGGCGTTCATTGGTGACTATAGATGAATTGGACGAGTGAAGCATTTACGCTTCATTAGAATTCTCTGCTCTACCTGCCAAAAGATCTCTCGGGACGTATTTCATGTATTTTACACGTTCTTTGACGAAAGAAATTTAATTTTAATGCTACGTATCATGTGTAAATAACAAACATCAATTTTTATTCTCAAGCTGCTCCAAGATCTGGAAAGCGATATCAAAATGCAAGGCAACATGCTTCAAGCACCTGTTCCCAAAGAAAGGGTAACGCATTTTATCACATACAAACACCAGACCCAGATCCCCTCTACTCACTCTTAGCTTTCCCCTCCTCCCTTTTCCTCACCACCTCTAAAAATTCCCCCACAATCCCCTTATAATCCATACTTCGATACGGCTCAAACCACTCATTCCACGAACCTTTCCATCCCCCAACCTTCGCTTTCCTCCTCGCTTCCACCCCCAATTCCTCACAGAGCAAATCACAAAGATCCTGTACCTCCGCTCCCACATTCGGTTCGATAATCCCCGCTCGTCTATATCTCCACTTCATAAATGCATTTGCCCGCGCGGTATCGAGATCCATGGTCAATTTGTCACGGAATACTTTATCGATCTCGGGAGCGTGCATGTTCTCGAGATAGGCGATACTCCACAGCGAAGAAAGTTCAGCATAGGTTGGGATTTGAGGAGATGCTAGGACGCCGAGGAAAATGAGAGATCGATCGTTGCGGGTAGCTAGGCTGGTGGAATTGATTGGCGATAGAGATGATATGGTGTATGGTCCGGCGGAGTTTCATAAGTTTTAGGTGGGTTGGATAAGAAGGGAAAGGTTTTATGAACCCATTGATCAGCTTCGAGATCGAGTTCTTTCCAATATTCCTTCAGAGTGGGAGGTTCCGAACCAAATGGAATTGGAAGGTCCAGCTCAAGACGCGTTTCGGGTGTGAAGAATTTGGAAAACGTTAAATTCCACCCAGTGGCAAATATTATTGCGTCAGTAGCAAGGTGAGTACCATTATCGAGAGTGACACTGTTGGAATTAACCTTGGATATATGCGTGCGCTGGACATCTATAAGTATTCCTTCATTCAGCTTTTCGAACAAGGTACTGCCTTCTTGAAGGAAGGAAGGTGCAGATGTCGACCAAAAGAGACTGTGTTTCATTAGTAAAGTAGTAAAGTAAAGTTCACCGCAGCAAACATATCTTACTGTTGTAAATCAGGTGCGATTTTCTTAGCATTCTCGCTCTGTTCATAGAGACCTTTCAACATATAGTGAGAAGCCCACTCCCAATATTTTCCAATCAGCCAGATACCGGGCCAAAAGAGACCACTATGTAAAAGCCAATACCAAAATCCATGAGTTCTCAACAAGCATGGAACCGTTAGCCCTGCCCATCTGGAGAATGCAATGGCGGCGGTATGTACCCCTCCCGATCTCGCTTGTATAAGCATTCCTGGACCAGCACCACCTTCTCGTATTAACCAAGTAACTTTCTTTCCTGCGGTTGCACATAGATTGACGACTTCCGCAGCCGATTTGTTGCCTCCGACTACAGTAACATGTTTGATTTTGTCGTCAGTAAGCTCGGCATGTCGTGCACCAAGATAAAGAGAGTGAAAGACAGGTCCATTGAATTGACTCGTGTCGAGATCCGGCATTCTTGGATCCGAAGAAGGTCCACTTGCTACAATCAATTTCTCACACTTGAGAAATTCCTTTTCCTTTCCTTTTGTCTGCACTTCTAGACTCCACCTCTTGACGCCATCAGTTCCATTTTCAGGGACCGCCGAGAAGACCTTCGTATTAAGGCGGAGGTGTTCATCGATACCAAATCTCTTGGAAAACTTGCGAAGATATTCACCCACTTTATGACCGGGAATTATCTTCCACATTTCCAACTCCGGATCTTCATCCATGCACATGTCGGAAAATTCATAGCACCCAACAGGACTATCGGCAATGAGTCCAGGATAGCTTCGCTCAATACTCCACACTCCGCCGATGCTACTGTCAGAGTCAATTACAGTCAGTTTGATGTTGGGTTTGAGCTGGAGGTATGTCCTAGCGGCTGCAATACCCTGCCATCCTGCACCAATGATAATGACATTATGGTCGTCTGCGGTACGTTTTTCTGGAGCCATGATTCCGTGGCCAAATCAATTGCAGTAAATGAGATAGGATTGCGTGATTTTCATATATGCCTGACAAACCAAACATATCCGAGCATAATTAGTATCTTTTCATGGCAGTTATAAGATGCCATTTCTTTCTAAAAAATCTCGGTAAATGGGAGTGATAGAACAATGGCAAGGAACAATAGGAGGTAAATGCCACGAGGTACGAGTACGAGACTATTCGTTTTGTTGTTAGAAAACAAAGAAACAAAAATCATTGATGCCTCTGTCCATAATATTCCATATGTTCCTTGTTCTTCGGAATTTGTTCTTGACAAGCTTGTTAATTTTTGTTTTTGTTGAAGCTATTCGGCCTGAAGACTATTAAATTCATAGAGGTCCCGAAATTCATAACCAGTATCAGTATCTATTCAAGCCAATCCTATTTTCTGTGTGACATATGTAGCCATAATAACCCCTATAATACCCTATTCGACTTGATTTATATCCGTCTCAGAAAAATGAAAGGGGATTCAATGGACAATCGCAGTACTGAACAAACCATACATCTTTTCAATAAGGCGAGTCTAGAATTGGATGAGGCAGTGTGGAATTGTCCATCGACCCATTTCAGTCCAATCTTAAACAACTCTTCTTCGACGCATCTGGCTTCTTTGAACAAGGACCAAGCACTAACAGACTCAACTCCTTCATCAAGATCCAATTCCGTACCCACATACGCACCCGCTATCGACACAGTGCTACGGTTACGCATGAATCTCGCACTTGCGAATTGAATATCTCGTAATATCGCGGCATAAAACACACAGTACCAACCTTCAGTGCCGTGGTGGATTTAGCAGATAGCAGCACCATCGCAGACTCCTGAGATTTTGGTATTAATGTAGCTAGTGTTATATACGTCGGTAAGCTACGGTGAAGTACACTTTTGTGCATCTACTATGCTCCGCAGATACGATTGAGTACCTTCAAGAATAGATGCGCTATATACAGCAGCTCCTCTATTGAAAGTTGTACTTTCTTCCGGGATATTGGCATGACCTATCGAATGGCCGGTTCTTGCGCAACCCCGCCTCAACATAACATTTCAGTTTCTTTTAAACCCTTTTGCCTCCCCCCACCTCCTAACTTTTCCATCCAAATCCCTCCCGACAAACCCCCAAACCAAACTCGTCACCCATGTAACCAACGTATCCGACACCCAATTTCCTCTCCTACTACCTCCCCATGCGCAAGCTCTCATCATACTTCCTAGCCAACCCACCGTAATCAGATATTCTCCTCTTTCCAAGCCCCTAATCGCATTTTTCGCGACTTCATCTGGTGTTTGTATCGGATCCGTTTCCTCCAATAAATGCGTGATTTCTGGTTTGCCTTGATTCTCGATCTCCAATCCTGGGCTAGCTATTGTACCTGGAAAAATTGTGTGAATTTGTGGAGGATTGGGATATAGTAGGACTTCTTGATATAAAGTATCGCTCAAACTTTTGATCGCAGCTTTGGTCGGTGAATATGGTGTATAACCCACGACGGAATAGAAAGCTAAAACGCTACTGGTGAAGATTAAATGTCGGTCTTTCTTTTCGGCATTGGAGGTGGAGAGCCAGGATTTCAAAACGCAATGAGCCATATCTGCACAAGACCAATAATTTATGTCCATTTGTGTGCGAAGTTTCTGGGGAGTCGTATCGAGGAAGAAGCCGGGGGTAGAAGTGCCAGCGATACACCAGACAATGTCTAGAGGGTTAGAAGAATTGAATTTAGTGGCTTCTTCGAGTATGCGTGCGGCTTCGGTGGGAATAGAGACGTCTGCGGAAATGAAGTGGAAAGATTGCGTTGATGGGGAGAGAGCTGCAGCCTGTGAAGTGTTAGTTGAACCCATCTATAAGCCCTTGCTCTTGTATTTCTTCCTCCTGCCAGTGCCCCCTTGAACCTTTAATGGTATACAAGTATCTCTTCTCCTCGACCTTCTCCTCAATCCCAAATACCACCCCAATCTTCACTATGCCTCTTTGAAGAATCGAAAAACACTAAAAAAATACCTTGATTTCCACCATAGCTTTCTCCAATTTTCCGACGTTTCTCGCAACAATTATCACATTTGCTCCCTTTTTTGCCAATTGAATTGCAACACTCTTTCCCATTCCTTCTGAGGCGCCGGTCAAGAGGACTGTCTATCGAGACGAGGTGTTAGCACATCTATACAAACATGAGGCATCCGGCCAGCGAAGATAAAACAATTGATCATACCTTCCCTTTCACCAAGAACTTATTTCCTCCCAGCCCAAGCATACCCATGATGCCCGGTGCAAAGGCGGCGAGGCCCAGTACCAATGCTGCAACGGTCCAGTAATTGAGTATCGACATAACTGATTGCTCAAAGTAGTATTGATGTCGGAAGGGAAGCCGTTGAATGGGGTCATGTCGTCGCGTATGAATTTTGGCGTTTGCGATAAGCTAACGATAAGAGACAGGGGTATACACGTGGTATTATTAGTGGGAGGGAGCTCCCGAAGATCATCGTTAATTAGTGCAGGAACGTAGATTTCTGTAAGACCTAATCATTATAGGGGCCATAAGGCTATGATGTGCAGACGATCTTCGTCATGACAGGATTCATTGTGTGTATATATATATTCATATTTATATATCCGGTGCAACTATATACGTCAGGAATTATAGATTTTGAAGAACTTTACAATTACTGTCACTTTTGTATTGGCAAGTCGGATCAAAATTTTGTGATAATGTTACTTTACGGCAGATGGCAGTTGGCCAGTGGACTACCCTTTACGACCTATTCCTAATGCATCTCCATCCTCATCCTTTCCAAGCAACCCTGCTGGATTATGATTTTGACCTTGATAGAAAGCCCCAATGCTTTTGAACTCAGTATGCCCAAAAGATAAGCATATACTCAAGTACTATAACCATGTCCCTTTAAAGGGTGATATAGATGCCACTATATGCGCCCACAGCCTTGTATACGCAAAATGAGACCCAAAAATAAAAACAATATCCACGAACGCCACTTCCTTGCCCATGGTAACGCCTGTATCAATTCATTTCGGAAACGCCTTTTGTCCATGTATTGGGTATCATCCTCCCCCCAGAAGCAATTTGCGAATAAGCACAAATAATATCTTAAAAAGGTTATAAAAAATTCTGCATATCAATCTGTTCTCTTTCGTGTAAGAACAGGTCTCTTCCTCCTATTCGCAACAGGTGCCATGCCAACGAATGTTTCATTAGAATCATTGCCAAGGCGATCATAACGTTCATGACCGACAGTAATAAGTTTGACCATATTTCCCAATGCAACTACGATACTGTTCGTGCCCACTTTCGTGACTGGGCCAAGTTTACCAACAAGTAATACCTGATCGTAAACTGAATTTAAGGGCACTGAGGTTTCATCTCCTCTCGACCCTAAGCTCCAAACCTCCCAGCCGTCATTTTTGCCTCCTGGGTGATCTAGATTAGACCTCCTTCCCGAAGCACCCCGTCGTCGAAGTCCGCCGCTTCCAATCGACCCCAAAAGTTGATTTCCTACTGCTTGTTTATCTTGATCTTGTATCTTCCGTACACCTACCACATACCCCGATTGGAGTGCTTGCCAATCACCAGGATTTTCTATACTAAATCTTCGCTCTACGGTTTCCCGCCATAAACAACATGTTTTAGAGCCTGGTTTATCAGGATCACGGAAACATATAGTATCGCCCTCTCTGCTTGGCAGATATGATTGCATCATCATATTACCAGTCTCAATGCAAGTATACATAAATGCAAACGATCCCAAACCAACAGAACCACATTGTGGCCTTCGTCTTGTCGAATGAACACATTGCAGTGTTCCTGGTTTGATGTTCTCTGTAACAAATGAATGAGTGACATTATGAGTGTGTATATCAACAAGATCAACGCTGTGGTCGCGTATAGCGAGAAAGGATGATAATGCCGGCAATGGAAGAATTGAGTTGACATCTTTGTCATCGGATACCCAAGGGAGTCTAAGATCATATGAAACCCAGCCAGATTTCTCTTCAACTGCAACATGTACACAACCACGTTTTGAGGCGGTTATGATCTTTGGAGGTGGCAGGAAGCCATTCGTAACAACTTTTTCCAAATGTGGCTCAACACAAACCAATGGCGTGCGGCATATTTGTAGTTCCTTTGAAACATGATCCTCCATATGAAGTTCTGACATGAGACCGTTATGGCGGACGATAATCACTGGATCAATCAACTCAACTTCATTGTGGCTAAAGAAAAATGCTTCGGGTGTTCGCCCTTTAACGTCCACGGGCATTGTCGGACCCCATCGTCGTTCAGGAATGTTCCATAAGGCGACCATTTTCTTCGACAGTATTGCGAGCCAATTCGAGTCGTTATCGATCGCCATAGCCAAAACAGGAAACGGATCGATATCGGATCCAGGGTCTTCGACTACATAGCTTCGGCCATTATGCTGTGCATTCCAAACACGGATCCATCTGTCCAGACCAACTGAAACGATAATTCCATCACGAGAAGCTGTCATTAGGACAACATCCAAAGCATGTCCAGAGCCGAATGTTTTAACCGACAACAGGGGTTCGTCGCCATGACCCTTATGGTCTTCATCGTCAGAAGGTTCATCAGACAAGAGATATTTGATGAATTGATTCACAATCACACCAGTGATGATAACAAACAAAAGGAACGGTAGGGACTGGTTCTCGATAAAGTCATAAAAAGCAGGGAGGAACGATCTCACACCCAGTCTGTTTGGTGTCCGATCTGAACCGTTTAGGACGAAAACTAAAGGATCGTAAACTTGAGCAACGAAACTGTGAGCATGTGGTTTGACAATGCTAATAAGCTCATGAACAGTCTCGTGGTCTTGCAATCGGAGCCAGGCAGTTGGAGTTCTAGCTTGATGAACATCGACCTCTAGAATTGAAGAAGCCGGCGCAGTTGTTTTCAATACGAGTTGATTACTTTGCAAAATACCTTGATCGAAATGCCATTGGCAAATTAGTACTGCGATAATAATCACCACGGTACCGACAATACGAGTCGAAGGCATGTTTCCTCCACGAAAAACGAAATCAGCCCATGGTTTAGAAGAAGATCTTTCTGGTGATGGATAGCTTCGTTCCCGAGAAGAAGCCGAGAGTGTGTCGTTCAATTGAGGTCTTCGTACATCGATGCTTAGAACGGGAGCGAAGAACATTAGTAGGTAGAAGAAATCAAAGATTAGTGCAAAAGTAGCGAAGCGACAGAAAGTAGCTTGCCCTTCGCCTCCAAACTTGGATACAACCCACAAGAAGAGAAGCCTCTGGCCAGTGTTCGTAAGGAATACATGTCCGTTCTTTCCAAAGGCTTCTGCGGATCTAAGAGTCGGATGATGTGATGAAGGCGTGACAATAAAAGCTCTCACGAGTTGAAGCATGTTTTCCGTGCCGCAAAAGACAACAATCAAAGGATAGTATTCTCTGGGTATCATAGACAAATCCGTTTTGATAATAGCGCAGATGGTGAACGTCGAAGTGAACGTAAAGGCCAACTGAGTAGTTGCTGCAATGAGAAGACCAAGCCTTGACTTGAGAGCCCGTAGGCCCCATAAAGTTGCGACGAACCACCATGCGCCAAAAGTGTATGCGGCCGCCAATGCAATCGATTCCCAAGTAGCAGTAGGTTGAAATAAGAATTCATAGGGAGTGCTTCTTAACGAGTGACCATCGGAAGGAATCATGCGCCAGTCATCAGATCCTTTGGCTGCCAGTTGAGCTGCTCTTCTCTCCCAATATCTCCCGACAGGCGAGTCAAGCATGTGAACCAAGGTTATGACCAAGGCATCTGCAGCCACAAGATGGTGGTCCTCAAAACGCTTACCACTGAAGACAATAGAGTGCCTCAAGGTAACATTGACAGAGGTTGACTGGTGCAAGTTTTTGTTGACCGTCATCACGATGTCGTCATCAGCTGAGATCGCTTCCTTCGAGCATGACCAGTATTGTAATGGAGAATGAAAGAACCAAGATGAGTTTGTTAGACCGTTTACTGCATGAAAGGCATCCCGTGCATCCACTGATAATTCATTTTGTGTATAGTCAACCTGGGCATGCTTAGCCTCTTTGCGAGGGTCAAAGTTGATAGTGGGGCCTAAAATATGATCCTGTATCTCTAATGCTGCTTGGAGAACATCTGGTTGTAAAGCTTTCATATAGCTTCCTATTCCGGTATTAGCTCTCCTCTTTTCGAAACCCAGAGTAATAACACACCATGTACCCATATCGATCGCATTACCACATCCGGTTTCCTCGAATCATCCAATGCCTTCAAAGGTTGCGCGGAAGACCATACATGATGTGGTAGATTTGACGCGCCATTGGTGAAGCCATTTGTAAAGAGAAATGGAAAGGGATATATAAGTAGTGTTGCGATTATAGCAGAGATAGTTATGGCAGCGACGGAGTGCTTTGCGACGTTGTATCCGAATTTAGTGAAGTGATCTCGAATGGGATGTTTGGTGTCGAGGTCGGGAGGTTCCGTGGTTCTAATGAAGACAAGCTTGATTAGATATGTAAACTTTTGTCAAGCAGATCAGTTCATTAAACCACTTACCCTCTGAATGGATAGAGGAGGTACCATATCATGGTGTCGAGGGATGGGTCTTGCCCTTGTCCTTGATCTGTTGCCAACCACTCCAAGTATGGCGGCGGTACCTTTTTTCGAGAACCTTGATAAACTTCAGTAATAGATTTGCGCCAAGGTATTAAGTTCTGCGTCAATTAAAGTATGGGTAGTAGAACAGATCGGTATCGATACGATAGTGGTGGAATTGAAATTGTTGACGTCGTGAGGAATCTCAATCATGGTGTTATCGCATATACAGATGGTGTATTGTATTAGTGGTAGGTAGAGGTGGTAGTGGTAGTAGTAGTAGTAGTGGTGTCAGTGCTGTTGCTGGTGCTCGAGTGAGTATACCTAGAGACGAATCGGAGATGTGGGTGGGAACATGGAAAGCTTCGAGGAACCTCACAATCGAAGTGCTGACATATTTGAATCAAGTGAATGGAAGGTACTGGGTCGATCTTGGTTGATTGACAATTGACGACTTGATCGAGGGTTTCGGAGTGAATGGGTGAATGGATAAATGAATGAATGAACGAATTGAGGTCTCCTGGAGTAGCGTTGTCAATTCCTTTTCTCATCAATCAATCAATCAATCAATCAATCAATCAATCAATCAATCAATACTTGGTAGAGTTTAAGTTTAATTTGTTGTCATTTTCATCGAATCGCAGAATCGAAAATACCTAGGATGGTTGTAGCGTGCGGACTAGGTGGATGAGTCTGTGAGGGCAGCTATTGAAAAAAATGGCAGTGAAGACAGTGCAGAGTCTGTGTGAAGTCCGTCCCGAGCCAAGGAAATATGTGGATTCTTTTCTTTTCCCTCTCGGAATCCGGAGCCGAGCAAATCAAATGGCTTAATTCTTACTTGGGTCCTTTGATGCTTTACCTTGAACTGTTCAGTTGAGAAAAGGTTTAAAAAAGAAGAACCAATGGTTTCCCTCGAATTTCTTATGACAGAACAAACGATGAATGTGTGTATGTGGGACTTTCCCCTTGTATTCGATCCTGATCCAGTTCAGTGAATGAATCTTGGAAGAGCTGCTGGAGTGAGATGGGAGGTATGAAGTCGAATAGAATGATAGAATGAATGGCAGAACGACGGGTGAAACTTACCTGGTAACTACTGAAACGTAAAGGAGACCATGGTATGTACCTGGTAGATAATCCTGTATATGTGTACACTGTGAGACTGTATATGCGTATAACTTCCAACAAGCTGCTAGAACCTCTCCCCCTTCTCCTCTCCCATTCTCTAGTGCCTTCTCTAGTGCCTCCTCTCTTTCTTTACCTCTTTCCAAATCTGTCGATTCCACCTCAAACCATGCATGAACTCGGCACAGAAGGGGTCGCTAATTCGAATGATACTGTATGATACTTTAATGAACAAACGCGAGATGTCGATTGGGAACCGGATGTTGCTTCCGAATCCCCATATATGTGAAGTGAATAATCCAATGAACTTGTCGGCGGCTGCGAGAGGTTTAAAGAGATACTCGATAACACAGCAGTGTTGTACCTATACAATGTCTCTCAAAATTGATCATGTTGTACGAGATTCCGTCCCTATCCCTATCCCTTATGTGAAAGTTCGAACCTTCGCTTTTTCTCTGATTGTACATCCTTTGTATGTGGTGTGGTCTGGTATCGATGATCGAACGGTGCACCTGCTCTTTCTGAATTCTTGAATATTGAGGCTGCACAATGACCGCCTTCATAGTATCCCACAACTCGACAATATAGATTCTTGTACTATACCTGGATACCTACGAGGACTTGTGTTTCCTCATTTTCTTCTCCTTCTGACTTGAAAGCTTACGCCTATCGACAAGCCCTGGATTGGCTTTTGCCACAAAGAACGAATCATGCTAAGCTGAGTTGAAAGCTAGAGCATCGGCATCAAGTCCAATTGAAGATCCAGACCCTTTGGCAACCTGTAGTAAATTTCAAGATAACGAAGGGGGGTGTGGCTGTAAGTGCATGCAGCTGCAAGAGGTAAGAGGCAGAAGGTAAGAGGTCAGAGAGAACTAGTGATTGCGACCATTGTGTCTAAATAGAAAAGAGATGCAGCAACAGCAACATCGAGAGCGATAGCAATAGCAATAGCAATAGCAATAATAGGAAAGGAAAAAAAGGCCGGCAAAACCTTCGTACAGAGTGGGCGTTCACTTAAATCTATATAATTCCTTTCACCACCGTTTCTTAAATTTACTCCTCTTCCTTTTGTCTGGAATCAATTCAATCATCGTATGGTTTTTAACATTCTGACATGTCCATCGCCTGATTTTGACGGCATTTTTATGACCGATGGCCTAGTTAGGCGTACTAGAAGTGCTAAAACTTAAAAAAAGACATTTTCAGGTCCCTTGAATTTTGAATTGAAGAAAAAGAAATGAGAGAACCCGAAAAAGGCATTTTCAAGCGTTCACCGGTGGCTGATGGATTTAACTCGAGTTCCAATCAAATGTCCCAGGTTGCCCCCAATCATCAATATATCATTAGCATTACCTAGGTAGGTAGCATTAGCATTAGCATTAGCATTAACATATCAAGCCACCACTGGCAAATGGAATCCTTCCCATCCGACTTTTGCGGGGGAACTTGTACAGAGTGCCACCAGTGCTGATGGAGATGATCAACATGATGTGACTTTCCAGAAACTTCGGTACAGCTGGAGTTATCTTCTGGTGCAGCCTATGTGGGTTTGGTATCCAGCGATAATGGATTTGTCTTGAGAACTCATCTTGATTTCAATTCCAATATGACTACGAGTACGTGTGACAGGCATGGATGTAGGTAGGTAGGTAGGTAGGTAGGTAGTAAGTATTACATGGTAGGTATTTATTCGCATTCCATTGCCCAGAAACATTTATATGCCTCTTTGAAAACCCCCAAATAAAAAGAGACTTGATGAAATACTACCAAGTACTAGGTACGTACCTAGTCTGTAGGCGAGGCAGGAATCATGTATCTACCTCGCCAAGGTAACATGAGAAGACATACATGCCTAAGGGGTAGACTGCATAAGATATACTAGATAGGTACCTGGGTATTTTAACCAGGCGTTTTATGCAGGTCCTCATGTAGCAAAAATGAATTAGCCAATACCTCGCTACTTAGCTACTTAACTACTTATTAGTAGGTAATCAACAATCATCTTATAAACATCTTCTTCCTCAAAGGACTACTTATCGATACAAGTACTAGCTACCTATCATTCCCATGTTGTGGCGTATACAAGGGACAACATTTTGATTCTGCAGACACCCGCTTTCCAAGACCTTTTTGTCGGCCCTTTAATAATTCGGGAACGGAAACATTCAGGCCATTTTATTAGGCGAAATTCCTATTCCTGATCGACAGCCTCAATCTGATATATTTGAAATTTGAAAGCAAACCCGTTGTTCGATTGGTATATGCGAAGAATTTTCTCCAAAAGGACAAGTGTGGTTCAATTCGATTCAATCAATACCCTTAAAAGTATTGTTTCCATGACCCTCACCAATTTGGGTAACGAATTGTGAATGAAGGCGGTGAGAAGCAAAGTGTGTGTACCTACCTATCTGATAGGTATCTCTCCAGATCCTCCCAACACAATCTCAAAAGGGACTTCTCGTCACAGGACTAAAGTAACACTTGTGATTCCTGAATCATTCTCAACCTTCTCAATGTTATCTCATCCATCTAGATCTTCCTCACCACCATCACCACCACCACTGCTAACTTTCGTCAATTCAAGTCACAGCAATGTCGAGGGAAAAGGAATACAAATTATTAATCTTGATACTTCAAGGCTATCTATGTATTCATCACTACGTCATGATACACATCAATCCTCGTGGGCATTATGGTGTTTTTGGTGATACATGAAATCTACTTTTGGAATCATGCTATGCGAATGCGAACCATCAGAAAGGACGGATACTTACTTTCATGAGGCTGGATTTGCATATATATATACCATATTTTTAAGCGCCGCATGTCGGTGTTCAGTAGTCTGAAGTCTAAAACCGGTGGAAATAACAAGTGTCACCATCGTCACTGTACTTGATCATGTACTTGCCCCACGAACCTGTCTATTCCTGTCGCAAACCATTGCTGCCATTTACAGAGATTGCCAGGGGATTCTGCATTTGGGGCTTAGACATTAGCAAATTCATTGACTGTGACTGTTCTCAGATACTTCAGAGGTACAGTAATTGTTTAGACCCAGTATGCATGTCGTTTCGTCGAATATCGATACGTTGCACTGCTTATGAGTAAGTAGGCGATACTTCACTGCAAGTCGTCTCGCCGAGAGGTAGGTAAATTTTTCAGATATTTCTACAACCATGGCATTTTTGCGTTTCTATTCTTATCTATCTCGCTCGAACTCAATTGAGAGTGCGATAAACGCTCTAAAACATTTCGTACCTTCCAGAGTTGGATGAAAGATATTCCCACCGTCAAATCAACGTTGCTCCTACCCTTTCTCCTCCTTCAGACAATACGCAATCCTTCTCGTCCCCGATTCTTCTTTCCTTCTATCTCTCTTTGCTGTTGTTTTCTCTTCCTTGATCATCTTATTCTAAACATCTGTTAGGATGCCTGCAAATTAAGTATTACTTTGTGGCATGATGCGCTTCTACAACCTACAATATCCTTCAGTATACCTAAAAACACAATTAACAAATCCAACAGGAATTACATTCCATCGTTACAAAGAAAGTCGTAACTTTCGTCCCAAATGAGAATGGACTCTTATGGTCCATCGATACTGGCAACAACCATCATTTTCCTCATTCTTGGCGTTTTTGTTGTCTCACTCCGTTACTATACTCGAGTGGTAATTCGAAATACCATTGGCCATGATGATTTTCTCATTCTCTTGTCTCTCGTAAGACATATCATCAAAATTCTCAGTATTTGGTTTTCTGACTGGGGTTTTAGGGCCTTTATATCGTGATGGCATCATTACTCTTCGTCGGCGTTCAACGAGGCATCGGTCAACACAAGAAGGGGATGAATACGGGTGATATTGTTGAAAGCTCGAAGGTCTCAATACTGGTTCTGAGATCATACAACCAACTGACAATCAGCAGTACGTCTGGCTCACGGTCTTAATTTACATAAATGCTGTTACGGCGGTCAAAGCTTCCTATGCCACATGTCTCCTTCGTCTCACTGAGGCCAGTCCTTGCGCATACGCTCTTTGGGTTGGGCTATCAATCAATGTTATCCTATGCTTCATAGCAAGCTTTTACCTGATTTTCAATTGTCGACCAATTTCATACGCTTGGGAGCAAGGCGATTCGAGCGTGGATGGATATTGTAATTACGACTCAGCAGATGCTCTAGGCTATGCATGGGCCGGACTATCTCTAGCGCTATATCTCCTCTTTACCCTTATTCCGGTCGCATTAGTTTGGAATATGCAAATGCACATCAAAACAAAGACATTCGTTGTCACTGTCCTGGGATTAGGATTATTGTAAGTATCACGTATATCCTCGACATTTGAGTTGTGAAATCTGCTGACGGAGTGCCAGCGCTGGTGTTGCTTGTGCTGTACGAATCGGAGTGTTTGCTGTGGAATTAGATTATACAGATCCTCTTTGTTCGGGACCCTATCCTATTGCCTTGACATGACTATGACTAATGAGCATTCACAGATTCAATATCACCAATGCTTATTTGGTCCGTAGTTGAAGCTGGTTTGGGAATTGTGGCAAGCTGCATCGCAACATTACGACCTCTCCTTCGACACTACAACATTCAAGGCCTAGAGGAGATTGGACTCGAAGGCGAGGTCGGGCACGGTGAGGGTGGACGAGGACACGGTCAACCGGCATACAAAATGTCAACAGTATCCCAAATCCTTAACAAATTCACAGGCCATGGTGCACATACCGTGACCGTCATTCACCAAGGAAGTGAAGCTACGATTCCCGCGAATGGGCAAATCAAGGAGAGAAGAACGTACAATATCACTACCCTTCAGAGAAGTTCGGCGGACATGCAACACGAACGTGAAATGCAAGGAGTTGCTGGCAAAGTTCCCGAACCAGACGATGTGAATACTGGGGGTTGGTGAGGGCAGAAAAGATTCATAATGGTTCCGATAACATGGTAAAATTGGTCTTCGAGAAAAGAAGAAGTTGGGTCAAGGGTTCATTTCATATTCAGGTTATGGTACTGTTTTGATCAATGCGAATACATTTTCAGGTTCTGTTCTATACTGATTACATGTTGCTTACAATGGTAAAGAATGCTTACAAGTGCGCAAGTGTACACAATCTTTGCTGGATTCTTCCTGTATTAAACCCTCTCTACCCCATGTTTGTAGGTGACAGGGTAATATTCGGCAAATCTACCGGTCAATCTAGAATACCCGAAACATTGCAAGGGCAATGAGGTTATCCGTACGTGATCCAGGGTAAGCAAATTAATATCCGTTCGCCATGCATTCGCCGAGCCGGAACTCTCTTTTTCTGGCTAGGGACCTAAGAGAACGGTGATATCTTAAGTTTGTGTGGATTCTTCAAAGACTAATTAAGAGGTTGGGATCATAATTGTGGGGCAATTTGGTTTTACCACCAATAGAATTACGTAGATGTTTGAGATCGGAAGACTGATAAATCCCATTAACGGTGTACGAGAGGAATGTTCGGAAAAGGTGAACTCGGATTAAGATGGAGATAGAGTTGTAGGTGAATGAATCGTCTGATAAATCCAGGAACAGTATGAAGTTTATCGTGTATGCATGGGGGGAACACTGGGCGTCACTTTAGGATTCGGTCTTACTAGTCTCCCACATGGGTACCCTTTCTGCATGCATGATGTGAATGATGAAGAACTTAAGCTTGTCAAAGCATGCCGATATTGGACAAGGTCTAAATCGTACGTCTTGAAGGTTCATATAAATGGGTGGTATCGCCGCCATATTCGACGTGATCTCTGGGTTTCCAGACGAAACTCAAGCTTTCAATATGTTCATCTCAAAATCCCTCATCTTCACACTCGCAAGTTCTCAGGTTCTCGCGTCTAGACTATTTGTGGCGTCATATGCAGGAACCGTTACTACATTGTCACTCGATGAAGATGCAAATGGTGCATATTCATTCGAAGTCATTGCGACATCTACGGCTTGCGCGGCCAATTCCTCGTGGATCACTTTAGATTCTTCCCGAGATATTTTGTTTTGCGCGGATAGAGGATTGACTGCAAGTAATGGAACTCTCAACTCGTTGAAGATTCAGGACGATGGTTCTTTGGTGGCATTGGATAGAGTTGAGACACCGGTTGGTGCCGCGGCCACAGTATTGTATGCGAATAATACTGCTTTGGCTTTAGCTTATTAGTAAGGATTCACTCATTCATTCCGGCTTGACTTGATTTGGAGACTCGTACTGAATGACTGGCCAATAGTTCCTCAAGCAGCGTAGGAAGTTTGGATGTCTCCTCCGCAACTAACATCCTCCCTCTCCAAACTTTCACCTATAACCTTACTACTCCCGGCGCGGACCCCCAATACGAAACCGCACCGCATCCACACGAAGCAATCACCGATCCAACAGAATCATTTGTCCTCGTCCCAGATTTAGGTGCTGATCTCGTGAGAATCTATCGAATCGATCAAGATACCAAGTTATTGGAACCACTTGAGCCATTGAAAACTCCCGTCGGAAGTGGACCCAGGCATGCAAACTGGCTTGTTTCAGAAACAGGAATCACGTACTTTTATTTGGTCAGTCAGTTGACTAACAGACTTACGGCATATGAGGTTACGTATGAAAGTGATAACACTTTGAGTTTTGAAGTGAAGTTTGAGAGGAGTCTTTTGGAGACGACTACCCCAGGCGAAGAATTGCAGTTTTATAGTGCCGCGTCAGGGATCCAAATAACAGTAAGTGATTAATTTTCTGAGGAACTTTCTTTCTCCTGAATAGAAAATTTCTTTCCAAATTTTGCCAGTTGGAAAACCACATGAAATTAATATGCCTTTTAGCCCGATCATAACTACCTCCTCATCTCTCAGCGCAACGATACACACTTCAGTATCCCCGATCCTTCTTCCCCATCAGCCACAAATATCATTCCCTCCGATTCTCTCTTGACATATTCTTTAAATCACTCAAATGGTAACTTCTCACTCGTTTCAATTGATGCTGCTGGAGGTAGTTTCCCAAGACAGTTCTCTATCAATAAAGCTGGGGATTTGGTAGCTGTGGGCTTGCAAAATGATGGAAGAGTAGCGTTGTTGAAGAGGAATGTGGATGGAGGAGATTTGGAGATTGTCGCCGGAATTGATATTGAGGGACAGGTTGTTTGTATTGTTTGGGACGAGTAGGCGAAAGGGTTATTAGTGTTGATCCGAGGATAAATTCTGCGTCGAATGTCGTCATACTGGCCTCGACATCAGATTTAGAACTCGACATAAATGAAAACTTTTCTCCCACAGCTTTTCACGTGCATTTGATTGTAGAGTAGTACTCTAAACTCGATCATTTATTTGACAGTCACAATTTGATTTTCGTATAAAAAAGTATTACTAGTTGACATAGATGTCCACTAGAGGATAGGAATTTCAAAGTTAAAAGTCACGTTTGTTAGATTTCTACGAGTACAGTTTGAATCCTTCTTCCCAGATTTTGTTACTGGATCAATCCAAGCCTTTCCACGTTTCTATTGGGCTACTCAGACTTTTCCACACTCTTCTCAGACCTTTCTGGTAGCCATATTCATGACAAGATACATAAAGAGCATTGCCAATAAACCCGAAAATAGCTGGATAATTCCTCGCTGAGCCATGTCGCCTTTTCGATTCTTTTCGAGTTCTTGCATGCGTTTAAAAAGTTCAATCATCTGAGTAGATAGTTGAATCATCTGAGTAGATGTTTGCTATATTGCAAGTCAGAATTCTCTCAAATCTTGGGATATAGAACGAGGGTACCTTAGATTCTCCATTATTAGGAAATGGAATTTTATCAATATCCAACTTCATCAACGCGTCTGATTTTTGTTCCCCGTAAAATTGATCAGGTTGTATATTCTACATATTATCTCCTAATGCAACCAGGAAGAACGAAAATCCTCACATTTTTCGTCACACTCAGAATCATAAGTACGGATTCGTTCAAACTCACTCATGTATGCTTTCATATAATGATCGGTGAATTTAGCGTTGAACCCAGCTTCATATGATCGGTGGAACGAGTCCCAACATGCTGTTTGATATGCTTCGTTGTAGGCCTTTTTATACATTTCGGCGTAGAGTTTCTTGTAGGAGTCTTCTGGACTGCAAGAGGGCTCTGCTATATCGGTGTCGGCTGGGGCTTCTGGTACTTCCGGATTGCATGATTCAGCTGTATCGGTGTCGGCTTCTGAGTTCTTTGCATCAATGGATGCAGGCTCGGTAGACTGGGTCCATAAAGCGGCCTTTTGTTTCAGTGTATTTTTCACCGAGGGAGGCACAGTTGCAGGAGAATAGACATTTCGTTCGTCGGAGGAGAGTTCCGGGGTCGCAGATTCTAGGTTCATGATTATTGAGTTAGACATGGGTATTATCGGTCTGGTTAGGCAAGCCTGGGTTTATTGTGATTAATATGGTGTTTTTGAAGTTTGCTTGATTTTGGAGAGAGTGGGAGATGTAAATGATGTTTTGAAAATTGGATATAGGTGAAGGTTTTGTCACTTTTTGTGCCTGATTCTCACCAGCATGGTGACTGTTGTGTTAGAGAAATAAGAGTCAGAAGCCTTTCTTGACTCTTATTTGTGTTATGAGACATCATTCCAAAGTCACAATACCCGAGGTGCCAAAATTACATGCTTTATGATTCCCTCACGAACTTCGTTGAGCTGGCTTCATCATTTGCTCTCATTCTTCCAACTGAGGTAGTCGGTAACTGCTGTGTATTGCCCAATTTCTTTTTCCTACACCCTCTCCGATTTATACCCTGCGCTCCTCCATCTACATTTTTTACGCCTTGTTGTATTTTTGTTTTATGTTGTCATGGATTTGCTTACACAAATGTAATCCATCACCTTTCTTTCCAAACAAGGATGGTGAAATCATGATGTGAATCGAGGGTATGTTAGGGGTCGTTTTGATATCGCGAGGGTCTTCCTCGTTCTGTGTCACTTAATCAATTGAAAATTTCATCAAGTAATGGTATCAAGCAGTAATGCAAAGTTATGTTTATATCATGAATTTGTAGCGCCACAGCTTACAGCATACTCGTCAAAGGAAGGTGTTTTAATTTTTAAGATAACCAAACCTGCTTCATGCGGCTAACGATAAGAAAAAAGAGAAAAGGGGTGTGTGTTGAAACGATGATCAGTGATTATTCGTTGGTTTATTTATGTTCTATGTTCCCTCAAAAGCGCGATAATACCAGTCTTAAATCCATTGCGACCCTTTCACCACATCTTTTGTACTCCCTACTCCATGTTCTTGGTACCTCTGAACTGTGAAGTCTTAGTCCTCGAACCTCTTTAACCCGGTGTATCTCCAAATTTCATAGCTTGAAAATTGTCGCTGACGTTCGAGTTCGTGGGAGGGCAACACGAAAGTCCTTTTCAACGCCGTAGGCACTATTATTCTAGAGTCGCTGTATCTTTCATTTTACCCGGCATGCAAGTCTGGCATTTCAGGGAGAAAGAAACCAAGCGCACGCGAATGTGAGATTCTGATTCGCATCCGCATTTGATAAACACGGTAGAGTAGCTCTGACAACATTTTTGGTACATGCAGTGAGGCTCTTAAAGGGATCAATCTACTCGTACTCGATTGAATGGATACCCTTCAACATGGATGGGTCGCGAAGTCTATCAGGTTGACAAGAACCTTCCTCTAACATCATCCACTTGAACGATGTCATCACGTTCCTGACGCAACGTAATCTTCCACTGCATCCGTAACGAGTCTTCTTGTTCCATAGCTTAGGTAGCTCTACTAACTTTACATGTGAGAGATTCTTATAACCCATATACAAGAGGCCTTTCAATTCCATATTTAACTCTCTCAAATGCAGTAGCTCTTCCGGATCTAAATGTAACAGAGTCTTCCACTCTATACATAGTGGATCTGTCCATCCATCTTCCACTTTCACATGTATAACAATATCCTGATCTCGCACCATCTTTACTTTGAAGTTTAGGCATCGTGGTTGGCGAATTGGAACCACTACTCCCAGGGCAAGTTATGCATTCACTTCCACATAAAACGTCCACGAATACATGACCCGCTTTCCATCCCTTTTTACAAGCCCAAGAGTAGATATAGCCAACACACCCGTCCTTGCACTGGTCTCTCCTGTAGATAGAATCTTTCGATTCATTAGAGATTGGATTACTTGTGTGTCCGTGATGCCAGACATGTGCTGCCCATGTACAGAGCTTTTGAACTTCTGTTGGGATCTCTCCTGGCGAAGATTGTGGAATATTCTCGATGTGAGTCGTGGGGAATATTTTGACCGTGTATGTTGGTTTTGAAAGCAAAGCGTTTACGGCAGGAATTCCACCGCATGATGCGTTGTTGAATTTCATAGCAAAGATTCTTTGTGACTGAGTACATTGTTGAAATTGTTGATGAAGCTGTCTCTGGAAGTGTCGAGAATGTTTTCGAGGTCTCTTTGAAATATATGGTCGTGTAAGTATCAGTAGGTGCTGCAGTTGTAAGCAAAGGTTAGAAGGAAGGAGGGGAATCCCGCGCTTTTGAGCAATATTATAAGTGTCGTTATAACGCCAAGCAACCTGGATGATAAGTTTGAAATTATACGTTCAATTTTATTTGAGCACGAAATCCAATTTGAACGTTTAAAATACCGTGGATGACAGTGCTCTTGTTGATAAATCCGCATTTTTCATGAAATGACTCCGGTAAGATCATTCCGGTTAGCCATTAAAGTATTTCTAGCTGTGACGAATGATACATTGCGGGGTCGAGAGGAATCATGATTCATCGTGATTTTCTGAGAAGGACTAGATGAACAATTGGATTTCGGGCTTTGACTGTCTCGAGACTGTTTGGTCAAGTCACCCTTGAGCACAAATCGTCGTGTCACCTGTTCAGGGAAAACCCAACCACTGCAAATCCAGGTTCACTCACTGAGCCAACCACCCAACACATTCTACACCTGATGAATTTTGGCAATGGATCTACGTTGGTATACCACACTTTCTTTAAGTTCAATAGAGATCATTGAATGACTGGAGTAACAGGCTTGAGCGATATTCAGAAAAAGGAAATATTTGCAGTCATGTTAGCTACAGGAATACAATAATCACGACTTTCATTTAAACGAATGGTGCCACATAGTAGGGACTCTCGAGGTAGGTCACCGTTTGCACGAAATAATTAACAACCAACCTCCTCTAGATGTGGGAATCGACTATGAATCTTTCATATTCGATGTCTATGACTGGCTTTCCATAAAGCATTGAGTCTTATGGTTATGCTACTCAGCATCCTCATTCAATTAAAGGCGTCAATAATATTTGAGAGTGGTAACAAAAATTGATCAAGAATTTGTTTTATGGTTCCAGCCGCATTATAAACTTCACATATGAGAGCCTGGAGGGTTAAAAACTCCAACTAGCATCATTTGAGCCACACCGTCAAATTTATAGAGTACTCCAGGGCTTGGTACACAACCTGCCGGCAATCGTTGTTGTTAGTGGAAATGCAGATATTTATTAATCAACATCCTATAAATCGAATAATATCAATCAGATTGGGTGATAAAATTATAATCCATGGCATCGGATGGATTGACCAAGATTTTGATGTTAGAAGGTCAAGCGCTAGGGTCAAAATTCACTTTGATCGAAGGAAATCAATTTCAATTTACATTACAAATTCATGAAACATGCATGATTCCAATCGCATGGTCTTAATCAATCTATTTGATGTTCCATAATTTGCTCAAAAGCCGTGTATACAATAGAATCACCAAGAGCTATATTACATTCATTGGTTGAGGTGCGATTTGTAATAAATGATGATATAATTTTATATCCAGTTGAAAGCCATGCATTTAGATTATTCCTCCTCAAAATACGACATAAAAGCTATCGATAACCCCCCCCCTCCCCCCCCAAAAGAAACCTTGCGACTGGAAACAATTAATACGTGGTATGGGATGTTATACTCAATCTAGTTCAAGGTTAAGAAGAACCTTGAGATTAATGAGAAGATAGTGTTGTCCATTGATACCGCGTCGATTCGGTTGCCTATGGGCGTGAAGTCTAAGTTCTTGAATTGAATTAGTGATTTTCTATATCACATTTCTGACAAATATACAAGAAGAGCACTTACTGTTTAGTAGATCTGGAAGGCCTAGAGTCGAATTGACGCGGACGGCCAGGGGGAGGCTGCCCTTCAACAGATTCATCGTCGAGTTGTTCAGAAGAGTTATCGTGCCGCTCACGATGACCGCTTCTGTGGCTGGATTTTTTACGGTCACCGCGACCCTTCGAATTATTATTATTGGATTTTGATTCGGGTTTGCGCACTAAACCTTTTGAGGTCGTAGCACCTACATATCCTGCGTGCTTCAAAACTTTTCCCAGCAGACCACCACCTCGGATCTCTCTTTTCGAGTCGGGTGTGCTCCAGTCACCCGGAAAACTGTGATTCCAGGGATGATTAGATTTGACAGAATCTCTTATTGAGGATGATCTTCTTCTATCATCGCAAGGAGTTGAACTTTGCGAGCTTTCTCGTGAGCCTAAGCCACCTCCGAGATCGCTGCCATGTGCATCAGAGACGGAAGACTTGCTTAAGCTGGCTTGTCTTCGACCGTGCGCGACTTCCTGTAGGGGAAGTCTACCACGAGTCTGGTCGCCATATCTTGGATCCTGAGGGAACTCTGGGCCTGGATAAGGATTTCGATTTTGATCTCTTTCTCGAGCAGGTCGAATTTCTTCAATTGGTATCGGTTGTACTTGCTCGGGAGGGGGGCGAGTGCCGTGGGGTGCACGAACATTCAATTCTTGAGGGAGAGGTCTTGAGTCCGCGGCAGCAGCAACCAACTGTGGGGGGATAGGCTGGCCTTGACGTCTACCTTCATTAAAATTCTCTTGCTGTGCTGGTTGCCTTTGGAAATTTGAAGGGTGCTGGGGTGTAGGATCAAAGTAGCTGGGAGCTCCTCCTTGCGGATGTGGTGGCGCTTGAGGACGAATGCCAGCGAACACACGCCTTGCATTTTGAAGATTTGGATGTACTTGCGCATCCACCGAGCGATGATGATTGTGATCGACGTCTATTGGAAGCTCTCTTTGTGGAAGTGGTGGTGTTTGTGTATCCGATGGACGATGAGGGTTCTTATCAAGATGCTTTGAAACTCCTTTGCGAACAGATTGCCATGAGCCAACCGATTTCCATGAGCGAACAGATTCCCCTGAGCGAGCCGATCCTTCCGAGCGAACTGATCCTTCCGAGCGAACTGGTTCTCCTGAGTGGGATGGGTGGGATTGGGGGGCAGAAGGTTTGGCTGATCTTTCCCCTTCCCTTGATTTCTGTTGACAATTTGGGGTTGGGCTACTCATGATTGCTTGCAATAGAAGTAGAAAAACAGTGTTTGTTTATAGATTTGTTCTGAATGCAGTAAATGAATTTTTTTCTTTTAATGTAGATGTAGAGGAGAAAGTGCTTGAACCGGGGGACTTGCAGGCTTAAGAGGTGCTTTGCAGCTCTCATTCAAATCTCTTAAAATCATGATGATTCATTACCCTATGGTATGAGTTGTCAATATGGCTGCAAATCTTGACAGATGTGACTTAAAATTGATAAAAAATCACTGAAAGAGGATCGAAATGACTGTAAAATGACTGTAAAATTGAAAAATGACGGGAGTGATAGCAGAATGATTGGAAATAGAACTCCATGACAGTGAGATGACGTCCAAATGATGTATGATGGTTGATATGACTACTATTTCATGGATCAATCACAATGATTTCTATTCGGCTGTGAAATGAATGTAAAGTTCACAGGACTCATACACGAGTTGGGCGATGAATGGAATAAGGTAGGCACAGTTATGTGACTGCGATGAAAAGTAAGGCCTGGATATCTGATTCCTACCCAAGATGATGACACTTATTACATGAATGGAACTGACGATCAGAATTGTTATTTGACCTCTTACAGACCTAACCTGATGATATTTAGATCTTGAATAACCATGTTCTAGCATAGATGGAGGTACGGTTAAAACTTTACCATGTTGAATGACTTAAATACATGCACAGAATGGTGTAAGTGAAACACTGTAGTGGGCAAGCAAGAGAGGCAGGACCCTAAGCAATGGTATAAATCTGACTTGACTCAAAAAGTAAGCATGAGAAAAGGCACATTCATAAGTGTAGACTCAACTATGAGCTCGTACACTCTAAGACGCGTCTTCTTCACTGCGGAAAGCTTTAATGGAGGACAATTCAACTACGTACGCTTTATTGTAAGTGACTTTCCGTGATAACTGAAAAGGGTCCCACACAATCAACCGAAGGCAGCCTTAAAGTAATTGGTTGTTAGACAAAGGGACAAAAGCACCTTCAATTGTTTGGAGAATTTAAATATACTAGAGATTCGAACTGGAAACTCCGGCACAAATCGCTTTGATCTTTCCACAACCGGCAGTATTGCCATAATTTATTATCTATATCCAAGTATTTTGCGCTACCTAGCAAAGCTCCCGCAGGCCAAAGGAAGCGCTATTTCCAACAGAAACTTTATAAACGTAGAATCTAGAGAGGGAAAAAATCTCATTGAATCGTTTCGATCCTGGGTATTCTCTTGAATGTATCTCATCATCCTCGAACTGGCCAAACAGCCCTTCACATCGCATGTCCTTCCGGCCCATGGATGAAGTCATTCTCAAACCTTCCCCACCCACCTGTCGGCTCATCACACATCTTCAGACTATGAATCCTTAAGTCATAATGCCCATCTTGCGGTCTCTGTCCCTGGCAAACGTTTCCACCCATTGCTACGTTAATGATAACCTGAAAATCATTCAACCTCCTCGTTCCCTCCGGCACCGTCGCTTTCATAACGACCTTCCCATCGATATACCAGACCATCTTCCCTCCTACACCATTTTCAGGTTGGTTCCACGCAAACTCATATGTATGTTGTGCATGATGCATGTTATGCACCGGTGTTTCCACAACCCTATGTTTATTCCAATCCTCCCCATTAAAATGACCCCAATGCAAACAAGTGTGATTAGTCGCATCCCCGTTCCACGTCTCCATAATGTCTATCTCTCCATCATTTGGCCATGTGAAAGGTTCACGCGGGAGGAGCCAGAAAGCCGGCCAGATTCCGGGGGCACAGGGTGGTGTAATAGTTGCTACGAGACTGCCGCGATCCCGAGCTAGTGTCATATGGCTGGTTAAGCGTGCGCTTGTAAATCTGCCGTTTGAGGCAATGGCTCGGAGGACCAGACAACCGTTTTCGTGGTGGAACGAGTTTTCGCGGTCTGCGATGTAATTTTGGAGTTCATTGTTTCCCCAGCCATGATCGCCTAGTTGATGTTTGAAATTATCGGAAACGTGCGTGTGAGGAGCGAAAGAAGGTGTCCAATAAGGATGAATTGCAGAATAGGATGGTCTATTCTGAGGAATTGGAGGAGGTGCGCCTGCATTGTGATGAGGTTGAACTTGAGGATAGTATCCCGGTGGTGCGGGTTGTGGTGGTGGGGGTGTATGCGTAGTGGATTGACCGGGGATGGAAAAATTGTGCTGAGCAGCAAAGGCTTCGCCCTTAGCTTTAGCTTTGTCGAGAATACTTTTGAAAGACATATTGATCGTATGGGGTTTGGTTTGGTGTAAAATGTGTGAGATTTTGACGTGAAGTTAAAGCACGCATGTTACGTCAGTGTGCGGATCGGCCCGCAAAATCATAAGGCTGCGCTACTTGCGGGGTCACTCGGTAAGTTCGATTTTTCCACCCCTGAGATCTAAGAGGGTAACTTTTTTCGGGTTTTGTTAAACGTTTGATACAACCTCAGAATTTATGGGTTCGATTGAAATGACGAGATTTTCACTCAGGGCAGGGACCTAATATGACTATTACGAGTAGTGATTATACACTTCCTTTATGCTATAATCTATTCGCGCTTTTCGTCTACGACTCTCTCATCTCATCTCCATCTTTGACAGCAAATACAAATGTACGAACATATACCTATTATACACATCTACTCTTATCATTCATTATAAAAATTTCGTCTTCTCCATACTGTTCGTGAATAACTCTCTACACCTAACTCTACTGCCCAATCTCGCACACAGTAAGAACGCCCCACTCAATTTTCGATGTAAACTATAAGTTTCTTCTGGCGGTGGCGCTAGTCGCTCTCTGATCATGATCGGAATGAGAGCCTTTACTCTTTCAGTAATGGTTTGGTCTCTGAAATCATAAATCTCCGGGGAAGACTCTAAAAATGGTTCTGCGAGAGTGAGAACAGATTGTATGTGCGCGTCTAACATCGCCTTAGATTCTTGGCCTGTAAGATACCCGAGATCGATAGACAGAGCGCGAACTGTATCTCTCTCTGATCTTGAGGCTGCGTCTAAGAGTTGTGTGTATTTAGTAATGAACTCCTCGGGATACTCGCGAGAGGCACCAAAATCGAGGAGTTCTAATTTATTGGTATGTGCGTTGTAGAGGAAATTTGTCCAATTAGGATCAGTCTGCATGTATTTGAACTCAGTAATCTCTCGAAGACAGAGGCGTAGGATCTGGGTTCCAATCCAGTCTCGTTGCTCTTGCGTAAAACTTTGAACGCGAGTAACACCAACTCCTTCCATATATTCCATAGTAAGAACCTGTTTCCCTGATGCTTCGGAAAACACTTTTGGTACGACGAAAACATCTTCTTCATCCGCTAGGAGTTCCTGGAAACGTAGTCCGCATTCCGCTTCTCGAATGTAATCACATTCCCATCCCAGCTCTGTCCGAGCATTTGCTATCGTTTTATCGAGGAATAAGCCTTTTGGTAAAAGACGAGATGCTGTTAGTAGGATTGCAAGGTTATTTAGATCGGAGTCTATGGAATCTGCGACTCCAGGATATTGAATCTTTACAGCAACCTTTGCACCCGTTGATTTGAGTGTTGCACGATGAACCTGACCGATAGATGCAGCAGCCAAAGGGACTTCTTCAAATTCGCCAAATAAGTCTCTCCATCCAGGTCCGAGATTTGCTATCAATACTTTGTTTCTTTGTGAAGCAGGCATGTAGTCTGCTCGATCCTGAACTCGTTGCATTACTTCTTGGATTGGCGCCGGAAGCATTTTGGAGTCTTGGAAACTGATCATCTGGCCCAATTTCAAAGCCGCACCTCTCATCCGAGACAATTTTGTCACAAGCCTCTCCATGTTACCCGCACTCAACATGAAAGATCCCTCGCCGCCACCGCCACCAACTCGACGAAGACTTTCGCTGATAGCCCCTCCTACCATGCCAGCAGCGAGGCCACTATAGTTCCATAACCTTCCAAGTCTTGAAGAAGGAACACTAGATTCTCGCAGCTTATATGGGGCGGGCTGTGAGCTTCCCTCTGGCTGCAACTATATTATTGTCAGATCTCAGTGTCACATGCATCAAGTGCGAGAGGAGTTCATATTTACAGTGTTATTACTACTTTCTTTGCTAATATCTGCCGCTAGCTTCTCGATACCTTCATCGTTTTGACGAGGAGTCTGGAGAACGGAATTGAGTGGACTATCCGGGGTGGTCGGTTCTGCTTGAACAGATGAACGAACATTGAACGTATCCTGGTCCTTATTTCTTGCGAGTTGGGTTTGGTCTACAGGGGTGTCTTTTACTCCCTTTAAGCCCAGGGTACCTTTACCTGACCCTTGAATTTTTCCTCCCAATAACCTAGCAACCCTTGGGCTGTAGAAAAGATCTGTGTTGATGCCCTCGGGCAGCTGTTCTTGCTCAGGAATTGATTCAACAGAGGGTATTTGTTTAGTCCTATCAACAGTTTCTGAGAAAGTATCAGAGTTTATAGCATCATCCCTCAAATGTTGATCATTTTCCTGTATATCGGATGTATGTTTCGGTATCTTGGCCCTGGGTAGGGAAGACAAGGTAGGTGATGTGTGTCTTGATCTATCATAGAAAGAATCTTCATCATGCCCTTCTTCCAATGGATTATTTGAATGCCCAATTACATCTGCAGTGACTGATGGAATTTGGCGCTCGTGTTCTCGCTGAATACGTTTTACATTGTCCGCGGATAAAGGCTTAGTTTTTGGAATAGGGATGGTCGAGGCACTCGAAGCCGCAGGATGCAATCCCTCACTATCAATCGGATCGAGCTTGGGTCCAGCTTTTGATCGGATAGGAGTTGTATCTGCATTTAATTCGGCAGTATCGATATCTGCGTTTTGGGGAGAGATTGTTCCATCTGGAAGAGGGTAACTTTTGGCCTTTTCCTGTTGAATATGCAGATCCCTTTTCGGAGTCGGGTTGACAGACGAATTTGACTCGGACTTTTTGTAGAAATGATCCTGCTCTAACCCCTCCTTTTTCTCTGGGGCATGCTCTTGTTCCTTCGTAGATTCTCTGCTGGGTATAGGTCCACTGTCATTCGGTTGAGAACTGGTTGTATAATCTGTCGCCTCCTTGGTCCATTCTGGCACATTATCATTCAATCTCGATGCAAGGAAAGATGCTGCTTTGGCAGTCTCCGTAACTCGATCCGTTTGATTGCGTACTGCTCTTGCTAGAGTAGAGGTTCTATTGTATACATCAATTTGTCTTGTCTTTAGTGCAATGTGCTTCTGTGCAACCCCACGGGAAGCATTAAAGAGAGCGGCCAAGTCTAGAATCCTCTTCCCCGCCATAGTTACCAAACAATTAATTCAATAATTCTCATGAATTCATGCCGAAAAAATTAGATAATGAATTCCGCAGAGATATGTTCAAAAATTTCGACGGCTGTCAAGTTCATCGATAATTCTTGCCGAGCCTCAATCCTTGTAGATTTGGAAGACGTCACTATCGATATCCATGGATCGTGAGATGGTGTGGCTTGTGTGGGCACGGCAACACTCGAGTATAGCTCTACAAAACAATCATAAAAGATGAAATCCAGAAAATATAATAGTTACAAGACAAATGTATTCGAAATTCATGAAGAATCATTGTAATTTCGTAATTTTCGTACCATCTAGCATGTTATTATACTTAAGGTCATTAACGTTCATAACAATGTAACCATTCTGATCTATCTATAGCCAATTGAGAGCTCATGTATCGGTAACCTGTGTCTACTAGGTATGTGGAACCTGGACAATATTCCTAGCTTCCGTAGTTAAAGAATGACTTATTAGCATTCACAGGGTATCTTATTATTAGTTGATCGCCCAAACGCCGTTCTATTTGCATAATCAAATATTGTTCAACTCTTCCCTGAAGGAGTCCATCTCGCCCGTAGGTTAGATTTTGTTCTCACAGTGCCTGGTGTTCTAACACCGAAAGTATCATTAGTCCCCCTACCTGAACCACCAACACGACTCCATAAGCGTTCAGCAGCTGGTGTAAGACCACCGGAGCCCACCCTAGGACTACTGGGAAATTTGGGCACAGGAGTCATCTCTACCTTCCCAGTCATACCAATTTTTGCAGATGTACGTTTACTTCTGGCTGTTTTGTCCACCATCCTGTGATGTAGGTCCTCCCGCTTGCTTTGCTCTTTTATTATGAATGGGTTTTTGGTATTATCGCCTGGGCCAAGATCGATAACAGGAGAAGGTGTATATGGTTCTTCCTCCGGTTCATCATCCACGAATGAATAACCATTTACACGCGGAGTTTCGCTTCCGTCATATCCAGACTCTGAATCCGCAATTCGTCGTTTTCCAGCTATGGCATCCCTTACAGCAGACATTGATGGGGAAGACGGTATGTTATTTTCCTCTTGAAGTGTAATCTCTGGCAACCTTGTATTGGCATATGCGACACCTTTTGGTGCAGCTCTCGATTCGTTTTGTGCTCTCTGTGCCACGGTCTCAATTGAATCTTCCACGCTTTCAGGTCGAAACATTAATCCATTGTTTGGCTTGAATTTCCAGGAGTCGGGTTGGGCTGGTCTCTCCTTCATATCTTGAATCGCAAGTCTGTTCCTTTTCCCGCCATCGTCTTCCAAAGATTGTCTTGATTGCAGAAGCTTTGTCTCAACTTCTTTCTGCTTCAACATCATATTAGATGCCACTTTATTCCCGGTCCACATCCAAGCATATTTTTCAGCTCGTTTCTGGTTCTGCTTGTCTAGTAACTTGTAAAAACTTTCGTTATCTTCGCTGGTATATAATGATTGAAATTTGGTGAGGCTCATGTTTGTATCGACTTCTACTTGGGGCGCCTGAGTTGCGTCTGAAGCGACTGACATTGGCGTATCTCCAGCGAATCCGCCAGGCGTTTCTGAAGCTCGAGATGGTGTTTGAATAGATGTACCACGTTTTCCAATACGTCTTCCCGGAGTCATAACATGTCTAAGCCTACGTTCAGCACTTGTGATCCAAGCTACATCTTTTGAGTCGAGTGCATCCAAGTATTCTTGTTTCGTTTCCGTTTCGAGTAGCCCTGGAAAGAAATCTCGAGCAATGATTTCTGAGATGGCATCGGTGTACGAATCCTCGTCAATGACATTCTTTGGTCGTTTAATTCGTTTTGGGGGTGGTGGCATCAAAGCAGTTTCATTTGCGCGTTTTGTGAGAGCGGTTGAGGTTGACGAGGTTGATTTTGATGGTATCAGATCCATCGCTGCAAATATGCCAGCTGTGAGACCAAGATATAATTCGACACAAGTATTAAAATGTTTGCCGTACTTTCCCAGATCTTTGCCGGACTACTAGGTATAATGTTCAGGTCGCTTTCATGCCGAATCGATAAAATAAGGTTGGGTGACTACAAAAGAATGGGGATTTGCGATAAGAGGGATGGAAATCGGATCGATGATTAAGCGCGTGCGGGCAGAATATACTACTGTACCTAAAAAGTTGTATCGGTGATAATGTTGCACGACAGGGATGCTTCTGGACTCCGAAAGAATACTTGAGGGATTCGAAAAGTAAATTCATAAAAGTACATACAACCCTCCAACGTGTACTTTTTATAATCATATGTTGCAGAGGCTACATCTTTAGAACCTCCAGATATCAAACACATTTTATTGAAGAGTTCTATTACATTTTCAGCACAATTTCCTTCCTTAACACTACACTTCCACGATAAATAACCCCGCACTCACTTGCCTCACTGTACGAACCTTTGTTTGTTTGAGAAAATGTCCTCCCGAGAGGAAGAGGCAGTTGCCTTGAAGAATCAAGGAAACAAAGCTTTCGCTGCTCATGACTGGCTCGGAGCTATCGATTTATACACCAAGGCCATAGAACTTGACGACCAAAAGCCAACATACTTTTCAAACAGAGCTCAGGTACTTTCACATGTATTCAACATCCAAACTGCTCGCGTGATTGACAATCTTGCAGGCAAACATCAAATCCGAGGCTTATGGATACGCAATAGCTGATGCTACAAAAGCCATTGAACTCGATCCGAATTTTGTAAAGGTTCGTTGGTTCAGAAATTCTGCCACCATTGTCTTTCTCTTCTCCAAAGTTTGAAATCTAACAACTTCCTCACAGGCATACTATCGTCGAGCCGTTGCATATACTGCAATCCTAAAACCCAAAGAAGCTCTCAAAGATTTCAAGGCGGTTGTCAAGAAGGCACCAAATGATAAAGATGCGAAGCTCAAGTTGGCAGAATGTGAGAAGATTGTGAAGAGAATCGAGTTCTTTCGAGCCATCGAAATTGGAGACCCACCATCTGCGGCGGAGGGCCTTAACCTCGATGATATGGTTGTGAAGGATTATGATGGTGTAGAGTTGGGCAACGAAATGACAACCGAGTTCATCAATGATATGCTTGAACGTTTCAAGAATGGCAAGAAAATACACCAGAAATATGTTTATCAAATTGTCATGGCAGTCAAAAAAATTGTCTATGATGAACCGACAATGGTGGAGATGGAGATCGACAGTGACGCACAGCTGACCGTTTGTGGAGATACACATGGTGAGTCGTCTTTTGATTGCATTGCAGTTTTAAGCTAACATTCAGTCTCAGGTCAATTTTTCGATCTTATGGAACTCTTCAGACTCAACGGTCTACCCACAGAGAAGCACTACTACCTATTCAACGGTGATTTTGTTGATCGAGGCTCTTGGTCATGTGAAATTGCACTACTGTTGTATGCATACAAATGGTTACGTCCATCAGCATTTTTCATCAATAGAGGAAATCATGAGACCGATGATATGAACCGTGTTTACGGTTTTGAGGGCGAGTGCAAGGCAAAATACAATGGTAAGTTGTTTTCCCAATTCATGTAAATCTTGATCCTTGAGAACAACAACTGATTCCTATCAGAACGTACTTTCAAGCTATTCTCTGAAAGTTTTTCGGCCCTACCTTTAGCAACTCTCATTGGCAAGAAATATCTTGTCCTTCACGGAGGATTGTTCTCGGATGATAAGATCACGTTAGACGATATCCGAGCCTTGAACAGACACAATCAACGCCAACCGGGTCAGGCAGGATTGATGATGGAAATGTTATGGACCGATCCACAAAAGGAGCCGGGTCGTGGCCCAAGTAAACGTGGTGTCGGTATGCAATTCGGACCGGATATTACTAGAAGGTTCTGCGAAAACAATGGATTGGACGCTATCATCCGTAGTCATGAGGTCCGAATGGAAGGTTATGAAGAGGAACACGATGGAAAATGCATTACTGGTATGTGAAGTTCCACTAATACATTACTGACTTAACTAACACTTTTTAGTCTTCTCCGCGCCAAGATATTGCGATAGTACAGAAAACAAAGGAGCTTATATCAATATCGGACCTGATTATAAGTTGGACTTCCACAAGTTTGATGCAGTGCCACATCCTAATATCAAGCCTATGGTTCGTAGATCTGGAGTTCTTTTCTTCCCAAATAATGAGCTAACTAGTAAAACAGGCCTACGCACAAAATTCTCCTTTATCGATGATGTAGATGAAACCATGATCAAATATATCAGGTGATTCTTGGGAGTGCTCATAAAAGTTTGGATCTATTCCATTTATCAAGATATGAGATCAATCCGTAGGAAAATTTCCTACAAGGGATTTGAAAATGTACAATAGCAGTAATATCCTCACATAAAGCGCTTCAATGATACTGATGCTCAAGCGAGAATGTAGTTATTCAAAATAATCTAATCATTCACAACTCTTAGCCAATCAATCGTTACGGACGAACTTCCACCAATTCGCCGACGCTGCCTGATGGCGTGTGTAAAGGTGTATGAGGAAGTGAAGTGTCTTAAACAAAGTTCGCTACCAACCAGGCAAGAGGCTTGACATTTGCACGGCATATCTTCTTTTTTTGCAAATCATCATGAATTTTAATACATACTTGCTACATGCTATCATCTCATGTTAACCTAATTTCCCAAATCTACACATTCAAAGGACGTCTCCTTCCCTCCAATCTGGAGGTCTTGTCGCTCGCTAAAAGCATGGGCTCCGAATCAAACCACCTGCAGTGCCCCTTACATTATAGTGTTTTATGTATTGGATGTGTGATCATTCGTTTTTGTACTGTCTTCTTCACTTTTGTAATCGATTGTTGAGACAATTTTGATCGTGTGTGCTCGGCTTGAGGTGATGATGCGAGTAGTTGGAGTTGTGCATGGCTGAAATTCTAGGCTTTGGGAGAAATAATACATACACACTTGGGAGAAAAGAAAAAGGAGAATAACAGAATTCACGAGGGTACGACAGAGGTTTCTTAGGTAGTTAGAGAACGGTCTCGGAAGCTCATTTAAACCATGCAAATACTTTTGAATTTCCACGTCATCTAAATGTATGTGATATCATGCTCTAAGAAATGGTCTTCTCAACCAATGTGATTCCGTATTTCTTCAACTCCTCCATCAATGGATCGTTGATCTTGCTGGTCATAGGCGCAAGAATACCCTTCTCACTAATTGTTCCATCGAGAACTTGCTTGACAGCAACACCACATGGTACACCGACTAATTTGGCCATGGCAGAGTAACCCTTTGGATCACCGTATTCAACCAATGTTGATGTACGAGTCTCCTTCTTTCCATCCTTGTGCTCAATCTCAAATTTGTGCTGCAACATGACGAGATCACGTTCTCCCTCTTCAAATTGCATCTTTTTCTCGAGAGTGGCGCAAAGAGTGTCAAGAGGATTACCACGGGGAATAATCTTTTCGTCGGAGAAGATACCAACCCAGTTAAGACCGTTCATGATACGTTCCTTTTCTTCAGTACTCTCAAACTTTGCCTTGGAAGCAATTGCCCACTTCAAATCATCCTCAGTACTTGACGAAGAACCAAGAACCTTTTGAGTAGCCTCCTTCCAGGAAATTGCCTCGGTGAATCCGTGATCTTCATCACTTAAGAATCCCATATCAACCAATACGCGAATGAATTCTGGGAAACCTTGATATCTCAAAGTACCTCTGATGATAGTTTGTGCTTCTGGGATATTGTAACGCTCCTTGTAAGGGGTAGAATCTCTGTTTGGGTAGGCGACAAATGCGTAACCTGGGTAGATGAAGTATGGCTTGGCGGTACCCATCAACTCTGGACCAGCAACATCAACAATGTTTCCGTCTTTATAGAATCTTGCCGCATTCCTCAATGCCAATAAAACACCACGGGAAGACCAAGAGAACTTGTAACCGAGAGGGTTATCCGAATTCTCTGGAGCTGGGAGACCTCCACAGTATGACAAGAAAGAAGTGATCTTTCCACCCGCCTTGTGAACCTCCTCGATGGTCCTTACAGCATACAAGTGATCGATTCCTGGATCTAAACCAATCTCATTCATAACTGTGATACCGGCATTCTTGGCCTCCTCGTCCAATTCAAGCATGGCAGGAGAAACATAACTAGTGGTAACGACATTCTTCTTGTTTCGGATGGCAGATTTGATGACGGTAGCGTGGAATGTATATGGGATCAAACTGATGACCAAATCGTTCTTTGCAACTTCGGCATCGAGAGCTTTGTCGTCTGTGACGTCAAGGGAGATTGGGTGGGCATTCTTGACACCTTCGGAGAGCTTCTTAGCACTTCGATGGTTCCTGCATGCTAGAAACAAGTCAGCTTTATGTTTTGAAGAGGAATTGGAATGTTCATGTACCAACAGAAACTTGAATGCCTGCTTCACTGAGAATATCCAAGGTCGGGCGTGTTACGAAGCCCGCACCGAGCATAAGAACTTTCCTAGAATAACTGTAAGAAAACGAAAACTTGGGGCTGAAATGATTTGATGGTTTACTTTGTGTCAAATCCAGCCATGATGTCTAACTTGGATGAATATAATTGAGAATAAACTGAAAATAAATATCAAGCAAAGGCTTGAGAGTTCACCGAGCGACTCATGCCGATGGGTTAAATTTCTTGGTGGGGTTGATCCGTGATCGGCCAACTGCATGTGTGCTAAAATTCGCAGAATTTGGTTGAGATCAGCATTAATTCACTGTAAGCATGCTTTTCAACCATTATGATAGGGTTACTGAGCAATGTTCTTGTTGTAGAGTAACTGGTGTTTTTACTTGTCAATTCAGAATCTTAGTATCATTATTATTCCATTTTGAGGATAATACCAAACATGATCTTGAGGTTACAATGCATACTAGGTAGGTACACAGAGCTACAACAACAGTGAGGTCAAGGCAAGGATCTCAAGTTGTCCCGCACTAACCTATAATGGGACCTAGCTTCCATTGAAGCTTACTTAAGCGCAATTCGCAAAGAACACTTTTCACCAGTCGCGAAAAAGCTCTTCTCTTCAAATTTCTTCTTCTCACAACATCAAGCTTTTGAAGCTTCATTTACAACATCTTCAACAGTCTTTCATACCGCACAATAACCATGTCGGCAATGGATGTATTCTGGGCAGCTCCGCCTATTTCAAGGTATGCGCAATGCGTTCTGCGAAAGATGCGCCTATCAATTAATACTGATGCTGATGATAGTGCATAGGACTTTGGCTACTGGTGCCTTGACTCTTTCGATCTTGGTCTACACTCATATTCTCTCAGGTTATCATGTTATGTTCTTATTGCAACCTATAATGCAATTCCCGCCTCAATTATGGCGACTGATTTCTCCCTTTCTTGTTACTGGCCCAGACTTGGGTATTCTTTTCGACACATACTTTCGTAAGATTTGCAAGATCGCGTTACAATCAGGATAGATTGACTTACATTGGCACAACAGTATACACTTATGGAAGCAAGCTTGAAACAGCTTCGCCTAGATTCCCTCAACCAGGAGATTTCTTGACATATGTATTGTTTGTTTGTGCGACGATCTTGGTAGGCATCATCTTTTTTCTTTTCTTCTCTCGTTGTTCCGTTCAAACCCCACCTCTATACTGCCCGTTTAGTGCAATGCTCTTAGCTACAACGGTTCCTAAAACGAGGAAGATTACCCTTACATCTTGGCTGGTCCGACATTCGCAAAACAACAAATAGGATCAGTTAAGGTGTAGGCATGGTGGGAAGTTCCTATGAGAAAACTCGTGTTGATTCCTCAACTTAACTCGGGTGGTTGTGGCTCCCTACATTTCAAGTCATTATCATTGAGATGTTGATACTTGGTGTTTCTATTTCAAGAGATACCTTGTAAAAATCTCATCTAACAAATGCGCAGGGATTGAATGTATTCATAACAGGCGGTGTCATCTTTACATCGGCGTTGGTATTGGCTTTCGCATACACATCGACACAAGATGATCGTGGCATGAAAGCTACCTTTTTCGTCATCACCATTCCAGCACCATGGATACCATATGCGATGCTTCTCATGACTTTTGTAATGGCTGGCCCTGGCCCAGCTAAGATTCAAGCTACCGGTCTTGTTGCCGCACATTTACATGATTTCTTGACGAGACTTTGGCCTACATTTGGTGGTGGAAGAAATTTTGTTCCAACCCCGGGTTTCATTCAGAGAGCTTTCCAAACAACACAAACCACTGTTACTGAAAGATCTTATGGTACCGCGGTTGCACAACCACAACGATCTGCCAATACTCCCAGCTCATCTGGCAGTGTTCTACCAGAATCATGGAAGAGTCGTGGCTCAGGACATAGATTAGGGGGTGATTGATTGAGTGATTCAGAATGCAAACATGGATCATGCTGTAAAATAGATAAGATGCTTTCCTATGTTGGTGTTTGGTGTCGATAAAATGAAACAATAGTCTCTGCCCTTAATGGCATCGTCATGAATACTTTTTCTTGTGCTTGTTTCGTGAAGGTGATTCTCAAGAAACATTTTCGGATGCTTTCACGTTGTTGAGTGTAGCATCTGCGTCAACCTCCATTGTTCATCATCTCACTTCTTATTTGTTCACGCCAATCTCTTCTGTCTTTACCGCAAGCTTTCTCCACTCACAACATACATACTGTCTATTGTCATGTGCAACAAGGCGTTGCCATTATAACAAAAAGAGTGCCAATTTTTTTCAATGCAATGCAATGTTTACCCTCACCTGAACATGACTATACTATCCTTATGAATACGATTTCCAGCTATCCATATTGGATGAAATGAAAATAGTCCTAAGTTTGGTTGTTATGCCTGGAGCAGGGACTGGTTCGATACCTCGTGAGAGGTGTGTTGATGTCTATTAGTGGAATGACAGGCTCATATATTTACATGGAAAACTCACTACGGAAGAACCAGACGGAGAGGTTAGGGGTTAGATGGATCCAGGGATGGCGCAAAACCGTGGATGAGGTAACTGAGGCTAATAGAAGGGTCTATAGTACCTTCGCATAAGTTAGTAGAGTATTGTTGCAAATAGAAAGTTCGAGTGCTTTATAATGTACTAGCTCAGATTAGCTGACAGCAGCTTCACGATGCTGAGCCAAAGCATTCAAATATGTCGAGTATCATTGTTCTGTTATCATGAATTTAAGATTTTGATCATGGGAGAGGCCTCGATTTGGTGGAGATAGTTGAACCCATTCGCACCATCGAGATGTAAGAAGGATAACCAGAATAGAAGTATATGACAACAACCTTGAGGTCGGTGGATAGCTACAAAGAATGATAACAATCATGTAAAATTGAGAGGTGAGGTTAGAGAGGTCAACGAGTAGTCCAAAAGGATACTTAGCGCAATTTTACCACCGCGGCAATGGTTGATATTGTTTCGACACCCTTTGGCCTCGGCGCTCTCCATTTCATGAAGTCAAAGTATTTGATAGATCTGAATCAAGTACTCTGAGTGATAATATATGTAACGATTCATGTTTGAATTGAACATAGGTAGGACTGGTTGTGCTAAAAGAGATGTTGATGATGTGCCATTAGGTGAGAATGTGCTCCAATCTTTACAGTCGGACCAAAACTTTTAATGGTCGCTCATTTACCTGCAAAATTTGCCCAAGCCGGAATGTCTTTTGCCTTCGATTGAGTCTTCATGACTCCCACCTTATACCAAGGGTCGTTGCTACGCATCCCTTGAAAGTATCTGGCCATCGCAACTCGATAGTTCCTCTCCTGGTTCTTTGTCTCACGATCCATTCATATTTATCGACGTTGAACCCTTCATACTCGTTGTTGCGCCCCTGAGTCAAAGAATAAATCAAGGTCTGGGACCCGAGTACGATGTTCACGTCGAGCGGTGAAGTTGCATATCTTACGATTTGCCAATGTTGAAATATATCAGGATTTGAGATAGTGCTGACGACATGAAGGGTGTGGAAGATGTAATAAATGCATTCGTAGACAGGATCGATTGTGTGTTCAGGGACTTGAGATCCAGTATATCTTGACTGAGTAGCGTTGATCCAAATAAACCCTTCTACACCACAGTATGAGAGTCTATCTGGATAATCCTAAGTTCGAGAGCTTTCAATAAAGTGTAGCTGAACGGTCTTTGAGTTTCAACTGATATGAATAGCAGCAATAGCTGACACTTTGGAGATGGAAGACAGATGATTCTCTTAAATCATTTATGCGCCTTACGACTTCTTAGTCCCAAATTGGAACAAACAAAAGAAGGAGGAAAACTTCCAAATGTCCCGAAATTAAAGATTACTGACAATATTTAGCTCCATGCACTGCATACATCGTCGAGCGAAATACCTTTCTACCACCTACCGGATCACCGTTCCGAAATCTCTTTCACCCCCACCTGGAATTGCCCGTCCCAAATCAGTAATCCTCATCACTCCTAAATCCAATCTATCCAATCCATCACATCTCACAATTCTTCTCTAAATTTTGTTGCACATCGTACCGAATCCCGCGCCGAGCTGACGTTTTCAAACCCCTACATTGCTTGCCTCCCAAACATGCCGCTTCCGAAAATTTGGCGTTCCACGTACCGAGTTCCGAAAAGCGAGTTCGGTATTACAGGGGGTGAAGAGATAAACTACGCCGAACTACATAGAATGGGGGCCGAAATCCGAGGTTATCCGCAAGTTTCAGATAGACAACAGATAATTTGGGAAGTCCTTCGAGGATGGGGATCGGATGAATTTACATGACGGATGGTGATTTTGGGTCGTATTTTTGTGATGGTATCGGGTGGTCAGGATAATGGGGCTCGGGTGGCTTCCGAGAATTCATTTGTTTCGTCCGATCAAACAGTTACCTTCTGGAGGAACTCAACGATCGATGACATGGAGAACGGTTATAATATGGATATTGTTGAACAAAATGCATAAGTATAAATTATGTTCTTAAGTCGAGTTGGCTCATTGACTGACGAATTTGGCGCGAGGACCTCAATTTGTAGCACTTGACTATTTTCAGGACCACTGACTTTGCGAATGTGTTTTTGGTTGTCCTATGTTGAATATCAATTGGCCAATGAACTCCCAGGTAACATGGTATTTTTCCTAGTAATTCGATTGGGGAAGGCATGAACGTTATACAGTAAATCTTTTAATTTTAGAGCTTGAGATTTCTACTCTATGTGAAGAATGATAATCTTATCGCCGCCTCTTACATCATATTTTGGTGCCGCCCATTCTACACAAAATTCAGGTCGGTGCGAATTGAGATTGGCAAGTGAAGTTTCAATATCATTCGATACATTAGAGACTATCATTGTGGAATACTTGTAAGTTTAGCTGCTGTTGAGTCTATCATTTGAAAGCCATCGATAACACAGTTTATTTATTCGACTTCTGGCATTGAATTATGGAATTGGTTTGATGATTGGCGAAATCAATTTTCGGTTCACTTTGTACCCGAAATTATCTTGGCCATAGGATGCTCGTCAGTATCGACGATCAAAAGCTTTTCCTCACCTCGGCCGAGTATTCCGTAGACATTAACTTCGCCATCCTTGATACCTAGGACTGTGCTGGTTCCCGCATATGTTGCTTCGCTTTCAGTGCCGCACCGATTGGCGAGAATAATAATGATTTCTTCAGTGCTGTTAGCTCCAATGATAGGTTTCAGTCTGGCAATCCAGTAAGAAATTGTATCCATATCAGGTTCCCTTGCTAATAGACCGTAAGGTAATTGGTCCTGTCTTGTAAGCCAAGCCATGGACAAAATAACAAGATTTGCCTTCTTTTGAAGTACATGGCAAGCAAATTCACAAGTAGTCCAAGGAGTTTCGAATTTGTATGGATTCAAATCCATGCCTATAAATCATGAGTATCAGTGAATTTAATCGAAATGTTGAGATGTCATTAAGCATGACTGGCTGAGCGGAAATGATATGCTAAATGCTTACAGATTCCCATTGCCACAGTTCCTAGCCCCCTGATATTTCCATCGAAAAAGCCAGATCCTTCATGAGCCCAAGTTTCATCTGTGTAGTATAGGAATGACTTTCGATAGTTGGCGATAGTCTTACCCTCCTTATCTACCGTAACTGTGGAATTATAACATTCGGAATTTGATGATCCATTCGAAGCATCATTAGCCTTCTCAGGATAACCAACCGTTACTACACAGTTGTACTTGAGAGCTGTCGTACGTGCCCATGAAGATGTGACACCAGAAGTAGTCGGCTCAAGATAAGGGGTGATTTGTTCCAAAGAGGAAAAGTTATAACCTGTATGATGGTTAGTCATATATTTGGCATGATACTATCATTGAAAACATCTAGGATACGATGATTACCAGAAAAAGCCATCTCAGGCAATACTAAAAGATCGAGATCTTCCGGTTCTGCTTTCGCGAGTATTGCATCCGCTTTTGTGAAGTTATTAGTGACATCTCCGACCTATGCTATAGTATTAGCTATGTTTGTGAATGTCATGACTGGATGTTCTTACCTGAGGATCGAACTGTAAACAAGCGATTCTCATAATTATGGCCTTTCGTGGATTCTCCTTGGAATTTGCCAAGATTCGAGACCGAACACTTCTTCATGAAAGTGGCAAGCATGGAAAGCTCCTCCAACTATACGACAATTCGTGTTGAATATCAGTTCATGGGCCTTCGTACTGCAGACAATATTGACAAGGATTTTAGCCGGGAAATGTCTGACACTCTGCATCTAAGTTAGCAGTTAGGAAACAATCAACCGATGGGTTGTAAGAGGGAATAAATCGAGCATTCAAATGAAGAAAAAATACATGTAGAGGAAATGGCGAGATGATGGCGATCCCACCTCTCGAAAGTCCAGATTGTATGTGCGTGGACCAATGATGAGTGTTAAGAGATAGATAAGCCATTTACTTTTGCGGTACCAGTAGATGCGATGCAACAATGTTATAACTCTTAAATAAAAGCTAAGTAAAATAGCAGCGATGTCTGTAGATTGTTCAGCCTCTACCCCGCTGTTTGTTCAATCAAGATGGGATTTCTCGAACATCAGTTTTGCAAAAGAGCCCTATGGAGATCTTCTTAGACTTCTCAAGTTTCTCTTCCCTTGGAAACTCGACTTCTAACAAGTTCTTGGTCAATGATATGTCAAATGAAATAGTGATACAAGGACGGAGTGTTGTTCAGTATCAATAAAGTTTGATCGACAAATCGCAGAAATGAGGATGAGGCGTGCCAATCATAAGAGGGATGTGTCACTTATTATGCAAGCTTTCTATTGGCTGTACATCGCTCTGATAATGAAGATGCTCGTGATTAGTCATGGAGGCGGTCAACATTGGCAATAAAACCTAGCAACAAAAGATGCTGTAAATCCGTCACTTCAAACAATAATTCAATTGTGTTCACAGAAATTAACATCTAACTCGAATTGGCCTGTGGCAGTTTATAAACTATCAAACCAAATGTCGATTTTCAATTGATTGAGGTTGCCATCAGCCCGGTTTGTGACAAATCCGCTGATTGCTTTTCGCTAAAACTAGCAGAGGCCGTTTCGGCATATTAACAGGATGTAGGTATAATAAACGTTTCTAATGAGATGGAGTTGGATATATCACATTCCTCGGGTTCAAATCTTCGTAATTTCATTGATGCATGCTGCGTACTTTGACTAGTTGCGCATGGGGGTTTCAATTCTCATCCTCTCCATCAGAGTGTACGCCATGGCCCTCTGACAGCTTCGTGGCGCCGACCTGGCCAAGTAAAGCAGCAAAGCACATCGGCGTCTGGTTAGGATGTAATCTGAGACCGTAGGGAGTCTTCTAATTCCTTGCTATGTTATCCATCATAGCATTAGTTGTAATGGAAGGTTTCAAGAATCATTTAGGCAATGCTAGAAATACTTTCAAATCTTATGAGAACCACACCCTTCGGTGACACCTGGCTGACTAGTTGGGATTGAAAGCCGCACATCAGTTTCTTGAAGCGCGGATGGGTACGAAAAAAGTAGTTCCGAGCCGTCAGTGATTTTCGGGACTTCTTTCCGCAAAATCCGATATTTCTAAAGACTCCATAGATCTCTCCCGCATGTCGAGATTCTTGACCACCTCACGAATCCAATTTAAGGCAAGGAACCCCGCCTTTACTTGGCTCAATTCTCTAGAAGCAGCACCAGTCTTATATAAGGGGTTTTGGTCATTTATTTCTCGAAGTATCACTATTGGAATCGAGCCTCACATTGTGGTGGCCTTTGAGTGATTCGAGTTTTACCCTTTTTGAATTCTTTCCTCACTTCCCCGCTTTTCTCATTTACCGAACCTCACTTGAGACACAAACGACAACGAAAGGAAGCACGAAGACAATAACATCATAATGTGAGATATCCACTTTGCATCGTCACATAAATCACAATATTTATCTCTCTGCTGATGGTTCTTCTTGTGTTCTCATCCTTTTCCTCAACAGACTCCGGGTCGAGCGACGAAAATATCGCAGGTACATGCAGCGTTTTCAAGGGATTACCTAGGAATTTCATTGTACTGACTAAGCCGTATCTTATGAAGGTCTCATTTCAATTTCATCTTGCCAGTCGAACCATTCGATTTTCCTTCTTATGGTGCTTCGATATACATGCATTGCTGTATTCCTCTGTTGCCAAGGCATCTATTTTTCGACCCTCAAGCCCTGAACTTCCCATTATATTCAAAATGGCAGGGTTCACCTCTTGTGCTTGAGTGAGCCCGTTGTTCCCATTGTCCAGAGCATACCAGTACCTGCCGTATATCGGTATCAAGAACCTCCTAACCTTAGAAGACGGACCCCCGATCCTTTCGCAGAGTGCCACCCGACTTGCCTTCACAAATACTCTTACGCAAAGGCATATTTGAGAAAAGCTGCAATATACCCAGGTTGTTTCCGCATCTAAATACCTAAGTAATTAAAAGCCTGTGCCATGATAGTCAAGTCGAATGCCTGATACAAGACCGCACCATGCGTAATATCCAACATTTTCGAAGTTATCTGTGTCCACATTGTAGAAATCCTTTCCCCTTTCCCATTCAGTCACAATGACTCTAATCATTGATTGTTTCCCTTTCCATTGCGCCCGGTCTTGTGATGTGCTTGCAAATCGAGTCCGTAGAGGTCAGGTTGTCGACATTAATGAGACTGTTACGAACAATATGTTAGCCTGATATCATAGATCCTTAGAAACACTGTACAAGATAGTAAATCGTCCTCGAGATCTGCGATTGCCGGCTCTTAGTTCAACGGTGCCCATGTACCAATTTCAGTATCTCCGTGTAGTATGACCCTTATGTACCTGGTTATGGATTCCAATCTGTGCTGCCAACTTTGTGAATATCTATGCTGCCAAATAAAATCTGTGAATTGTGTCATACTCAATGAAGCTCACTGACCTTTATCATATGAGAATAGAAGATTGTGGAGCGTCTCTTCTCCATTCGACTCATTTTACTGAATTGATAATCTGCAATCCCACTACACTCAAATAGTCCTTCCTCCGCTCTGTTCTTCCTGCTCTATCATTTCTGCTTTAGTCATGCCATCCATTGAACCCATTGCGGAGTCCTTTCTAGGCTATCGCATGTTTTCTCGTAATCTGCGCCACAATTTCCATCAACGGTGTTGTGCTTGCTGAAGATTGAGCGGTTCTGTAGTTTTCAGGTATTCCTGCGTCGGCATTTCCCCATCTCTCGTATCTCAACTTGGTATGCCAACTCCCACTTTCAATCAAACCTATACGCTTGGAACGCCCATTGTGTAGCTCTGGTCGTTAGGATTCTGTAGTAATGCTTGAGTCAGCGCAATGATCAGTGTCGCGAATGTAGAACTTAACGCGAATTGATGTCTCAGATTGCTTTCTGCTCGAAGGTCAATAGTTTTGGATGATTATGCCTTTTATTTGTGAAAACTAGGTAGAAATGCTGGGTATTGAGCAATCTCTATGGCGCAGATGGTGAGCTGCTTGGCTTGTCTTGATGAAAAATATCTTCGTAATGAATTTCCATGAAAAGAGTGGAATGAAATGTCGGGTTTTCTATTTCTTGGGGATTAGGATAGGTAGGATGTCGGCATAAAAGGAAACTAGCTCTAGATTCACTCATTATCAATCATAATTCAAGGGAGGGATAAAATTAATAGAACGAGACAGCGGTTTACGCGGATGGAAGTATTTACGGCATAATAAATCACTGTTGACTTCAAATATCACGGAAGATGCATAGAAAACGAAAAGTGTGTTAGAAAGTTTGTTATTTATATAAAACTAACAGATGAAGTGATCTTGATCACTGTTGGTTTGGAGCACCTCCTGGATTTCCAGGATTTTGGTGCGGGGTACCTTGTGCCCCGAATGTTGAATATGGAGGGCCAGCAGGTAGATTTTGACCACCTTGAGCCTGCGCCGGCCGAGCAGAACGTTGTGGAAGGCCTTGCTCTCCAAAATTCAAAGCTGGCAGTCCAGGAGGCAGGCTTTGTTGGCCACCTTGTCCAAAAGTCTGACTTCCCGACTGCGAAGCGCGGGCGCGACGCTCCTCTCTAGTCAGGAAGTTATTTCCAAGATATCCTCGTGTTGGTGCACCACCTCTACCTCGTGATGGTAGGTGACCAGGATAGTCTAGACTGTGACCGCCACGTCTTGGAACAGCACCCCCCCCCAGATCTAGCATCACGAACTCCACCAACTGGACCATGTCGACGGGCGCTCATGGCAGCTGCAAATGTGTTGTGGCTCCTTGTTTGCGACTCCATAAATAAGGCCATCAACTGGACCCGTTCCTCCCTTTCTTGCCTGTTAAATTCAAGCAATGGGTCGATCTCATCTCGAGAAGGAAGAACAGGAGAATGTGCAGGCCATGTTTGATCTGGTTGAACAAAGCTGCCACTACCTCTTGGTGCAATTTCTCTGCCACGACCAAGGTCTCTACCTCGATCGCTCCCTCCAAGACCGCGGCCTCTACCACGAGTCGGAATCTCTGGGCGTGCAACCTTGGAAATTCTGCCACCTATTGTACCATGGAACACTGAGTCTGCTATTTCTTTGTCAGCTTTGTTTTCTGTGCTTGGCCGCTCGGCGCGTGATGTTGAGCCAATGTTCTCTTGACTTTGCGATGGACAATACCATCTAGCATCGCAACATCTATCCTGGACACCAGAGGCATAAGCTAAATGAACTTGAGGCCCCGAAGATACACCAGTGTCAATTTCTAACTCGTTACTGAGGTTGAAATTGAACTTTTCGGGCTGAGTATCATTTGATACAACCGCTCTGTGTTCGCTAGCAGTCTTTGAAGTCTGGGAACGACCCTCCCCTTTTTCCAACCTTCCTGAATCAACCAGCCTGGGGTCTAGCTCAGTGATTACTGGTGGCAAATCTTTACGACAAGTGATCTGGTAAAAATATGTGTCTTTTGTGTGAACTTGCTTCGTATCAGTGTACTAATCCTGCATCTTTATCTCACTGACGACTTGATGCAATTCAGGTCCTGGACCTGAGAATCGTTCTTGATGTGCAGATCGTTTATCTGTGAATTGTTCTTGATGTACAGGTCCTGGACCTGGGAATACTTTTTGGTTTACAGATCCTTGACCTGCGAAAGTCTTTCTTTGTATAGGTCCTGGACCTGGTAATTGTTTTTGGAGTGCAGGCTGTGGAACTACAATCTTGATTGCGCGACCAGATTCATCTTCTTGACCAGTCACTGCAAGCAATGCACTGATTGATTGATTGATTGATTTTATTAACATCCATCTTCAGTCCAAGACTATATAGGACAGCTAGGCCCTAAGAGCCTAATAAGTAACTTTTTATTTTATAATATTGGATATGATCTAATTAAGGAAGTGAAAACAAATGCTGGGGAATAATATCTGTTTATTATATATATTGTATATAATAAGAAAATTTTGAAAATCAAGAAATTGTAAGGAGATCAAATCTCTTTCTTATTTCCTCAACTGCTTCTTCTTTATTCTTTTCTTCTTTCTTTTTTTCTATTATTATTTCTTCCTCTATTATCTCTTATTCAAAAGTTCTTGCTAGATGCTATGTTGATTGATTGATTGATTGATTGATTGAATTTACGTCCACCTTCAGTCTAAGACTATATAGGATGGCTAGGCCCAATGAGCCCAATAGATAACTTTTTGATTTATAATATTGATTATAATTTTATTAGGAAAATAAAAACAAATATTAGGGAATAATGTCCGCTCATTATATATATTATATATAATAAGAAAATTCTGATAATCAAGAAATTGTGAGGAGATCAAGTCCTCCTCTTATTTTCTTAATTGCTTTTTTTTATTCTTTTCTTTATTCTTCTTTTTTATTACTACTTTTTCCTTTATTATTTCTTATTTAAGAGTCTTTGCTAGATATTATGCTCTTGTAGTGATTTTAATGATATTAATAAATTTGATAGCTAATTCGATATCTATTTTGGTATATAATAGAAATTGTATAGTGATTTTCGATAATGGTATATTCTGGAATATCTCTTTTCTTTTGTTTTGTATATAGAATAGCTAATCAGGAAGTATTGTGATGTTTCAATATTATCGCATATACATCTATTATTGGAGTGATTGAATCGATATAAATATAATTTGATATATCCGTAATTTAATTTCAATTGAAAAAGTATATTAATAGTATTTCAATTAGTTCCAATTAATAGCTTAATTTTCGATCCGATTTTTCATAGAAATAGTTTTGAATAGGTTAATGCCGATTGATTGGATTTAAGTTTATATTAATTGAGAATTAAACTTTATTGATCAAAGAGAATTTTTTAATTATTATTTCTAATAATCCAAAATTAATTTTATTTGAGATAGATTGTATTGTAATAGCCTCTTTTGCTAGCTTATCTGCTAACTTATTCCCTTTAACTAATATGTGCCCTAATACTCAATTTAAGGATATTTTAAATCCTTTAGTTATAATAACTTTGACTATCTTGATTACTCGAATTTGATATACTTAGCCTAAATAGTCTAAAAGTGTTTTCAATTGAAGAAAGCCTACTTGATTATCTAAATAAACCTTGAATTTCTTTTCACTATTAATAATTAAGCTAGTATATTTAATAGCTTGAATAATTCTATATAACTCTTTATTATAAACTAATTGATTACTTTCAATATTGACTTATTTGTCACGGGGTGACACTAAGCCCTTTCTGTCCTGTCCTGTCCTGTCCTGCTATATATGTGAGAGTAAGGTAGAACTTCCAGTTCTACCTCCTAGTCTTTTGGGCGTTTAGCTCAGCGGTAAGCTTCTGAATACTCCCAGAAGTGATCCCGTAACATTAGGTAGAACTACCCTTGGTTATATGTGGAGCTGTACGGGGGGCCCACTTATAGCTTACAAGCCTTCATTGGTTTGGGGGCTAGCATATATAGATCCTGTCTGCCTGTCCTGAATGCCTAAGGCATTAGAATCCAGAATCCTGAAACCTCCTAGTAGGTGATGGTATGGAGACCATACCTTAAGGAGGGGGGTAATGTCACGGGGTGACACTAAGCCCTTTCTGTCCTGTCCTGTCCTGTCCTGCTAATATATATAAGAGTAAGGTAGAACTTCCAGTTCTACCTCCTAGTCTTTTGGGCGTTTAGCTCAGCGGTAAAAGCTTCTGAATACTCCCAGAAGTGATCCCGTGACATTATTCTTGATATAAAATCTAATCATTTGATTATATTAATACTATTTTTATATCAATACCTATTCTCTTTTAATGAAAAAGATATCTATATAAATATAAATAATATTTTAATCTCTATATTTAAGAATGATATTGTGAAGTATTGCTGTATTTTCTTTTGAAGTCTAATTAATATTAACTTTGAAAGGAATTTCCTTTTTCTATAAAAGAAAGTGAAAATAAATAATCTTTTCGAAAAAGAATAAATCAAATTTTTATTAATTGATTTTCTAATTCTATCAAGTTGAATTGGTTTGTATAGCTTTCTTTAAGAAGTATTGATTGCTTCCCGATTAGTATATTAATATATTAAAATAGCTTTTTCGATATTAATTGAATATTTAGATAAGAGTTTTGTTAATCGAAAAGCGTATTGCTTGATATTTGAGTCTAATCGGATATTTACTGATTTTAATTCCGATTCGATTTTTATTAGAAAATTGGAATGGTTTTGAAAACTCCTAGTATCTTTCGGAAAGCTAGATTTTGAAGAGTTTTATCACGGGGCAGGCGGGCGGGATAGAGTTCTAATAACTTTGCCCTAATCTGGCAAAGTTATACTGATTCGGGTAATAGGTTCAGATTGAGAATTAAGATGTAGTTCAAAGAGCTATAATACAGAATCTTCCAAGTTAAAGATATACAGGATTTTGCTAAGCGAGCTAACCCAATCGAGCCCTAGCTCACTTGCGCTTCGACGCGAGTATCCAATTCGGTCCCCTTCGAGGGGACCAATATATCATATAATCTCATACCATAATATTACCCCCCTTCTAAAAGCTAAGCTTTATTGAAACAAAGATATTATAATTCGATTATCCAAAGGCGGGCAATATTCGATCAAGCGAATCCTGATTTATCAGGGTATTTTCAATGGAAATTGCGAATCAGTTCTTACACATTCTCCAGATAGCTTGCAGGTTCTTTGATTGACATCTCGTAACCAACCTAGCGGATAGTATACTTTAGACGAGGTCCTCCACAACCTCTTCTTTCCCAACAGGAGTCCAGGATCTCGGCAGCTTCGAACTATTCTAAGCCGTCGATTTCGACAAATGGTGGTAGTGGGTTGTACTGCCCAGGAACAGAATTATTATATACAGGGTATAACAGGTTGATATAAAAAACAGGGTAAATCCTTATTGAGATAGGGAGTTTTAGTTTATAAACATATGGGCCTATCAGGTTCAGAATCTTGAAAAACCTGAGATTCTTCCAATCAAGCTTTTTCTGTAGATACAAAATCTTGATATTTCTAATGTTCAATCAGATCAAATCATTAGGCAGATATTTACAAACAAAGGAATAGCGGGTATCAGTATTCTTCGAATATCGGGCTTGACTAATAATTAATTTGATCTATAGGTATAAAAAGATAGCTTTTATTTTAATAATGAATTTTTTAATATTTTATATAGCAAAACGATTACTTTGGGACAATATAGGCTCAAAGTCCAGGCAAAAGTGAAATCCATAGTTCAAAAAGAATAGAATTATTTGGATACTTTCGGATCAGATATTATTAATAGAGAATTCGGCGAGTGGGAGCCACTCTGCCCAGTTGTCTTGCAGATAGACTATATACAACCAGAAATATTATTCCAGTATTGTATTAGCCCTCTCAATTTATCTATCAGTTTCAGAGTAATAAGCGATTAAAAGCTTGATGGCTATACCTAAGTGTTTGTAGATATATTTCCAAAATTCAGAAACAAATTGAGCTTTATAATCAGATATAATGATTAAGGGTAAGCTATAGAGCTTTTAGATATTTTTTTGGAATAGATAGGTAATCTCTTTAGAGTTGTAGATATTATAATAAAATAAGAAATATTTTATTTTCATTAATCAATTAATTATTATTATAATAATATCAAAATCAATATTTTTGGATAAATATATAATGAAATCTATTGAGATATTTTGCTAAGCTTTCTATGGGATTAAAAGCAAGTAGAGAATTCTCTCCTGACCTTTGCAATTCG